CTCCCGTCCTGCTCCTTCTCCTCCTCAGAGGTATCACCTGGTCTGTCGTGGTGATCTTGCAGCGAGAGCAGGGCTTGACGACGTCCATCTCCTGACGCCAAGGTAACGATGTTGCAGGTTGAGGTCTGGTGGGGGAAAAGAGGACAAGGCGCAGGGGCACACCATGTCGTGGATCTTAATGCGCCTCCACGAGTCTTCCGCGAAAGCTCCGCAGTCAGTCTTTATGACGATGTTGGGTCTGCAGCAAGGGAAGTTAGAGCCGCAGGCTCATCAGTGGGCTCACCGGAATCTATTCATGGGTAGCGGGACGGAGAGGAGAGAGTTGAGGTAGTGCAGAGATTCCTGAGAGATGATCAGGCGAATAAGGGAGGGAGGGAGGGGAGGGGGGGGGGGGTGGAGAGAAAATGGGGAGGGTGGGAGGAAGATAGGAGAGAGAAGAAAGAGAGAACACCAAAGGGAGAGGGAGACGAGCAGGAGGATGGGACAAAAGTTCAAACGCAGGTTATAGGCAAGTGAAGTTCGGGCGCAGCAGTTGCTGCGCTGGACAGGGAAGAGGGCGACATTGACAGGGGTGAGGAAGTTCTGAGGACGGGGCCAAGGGGAGAACCTCGGAAATGAGGAGGAGGGGATATCCGTCAGAGAAGGCTGTCTTGCCGAAGGATCGACGAGGAGTGAATCTCCTGTTGGAGGTTCTCTCGTACTTGTCCGACATTCCTACCAGCCGCAAGTTCCTTCCCACGAAGCTCGAGAGCCACGAAGAGATCTCTCCTCCTTGATCCACCACCTTCACGTCGTCCTCCCAGATACCGGCTTCTAGCTCGGCATGGTCTACAAGCATGTGAGCTGGGAGGGCAGGCAAGGAGACTAGGGAAAAGGTGTTGCACGGGAGGAGCGCGGGGAAGACCAGGAGAAAGAGGAAGGGGAGCACCTGCACTCGTTCTTTTGGTGGTCTTCACTGTGCATGAAGTCATTCCAGGAGCCTCTACCTTTAGCGAACCGTCGAGGTTGATCTGCAAACGAGCAGCATGAGAGGAGATATTTACTGGGAGATTTCTATCGCACCGCGGGAGCGATCTGACAGAGCGCTGCCTCCTGTCTCTGTGTGACGAAGCGCCCGTTCTCGTCAACGATCATGTACCTCCTGTCATTCACTGCACCATACTCGTCAAGCTGCATGCTCTCCTGCGCTTGGCCCTTGCAGCTCTTGATAGGATAAATGTGGAGGGAGGTCACTTCGCCAACCTCAACCCATTCTTCTGTCCCAATCATTCCTCGTTTCCTGTGTGACCACATTCATTCACGATCGACACTTGCGTCTTTAGATTCTCTGCTTTTAAATCATGACACATCACTGATTCTCCATTGCAGAACCACACTTGCAACAGATGAAATACGTTCCTTCAATTCACTGGATGGAATCGATACTTTTTCTCATCTCAAGCTCAAGTCATCAACATGAAGTTTCTTCTGCTCCGAAGGCATTTGCATGAAGTTTACCTCATCTCTTCTATCATCTTCATCGCCCCGTACATCGCCGCCGCCATCACCGCTGCAGCCTTGGCCCATCCTGCTGCCATAGTGCGCCACCTTCAACTACCCAACCCACAAACTGTACATTTTGAAAACAGAATTATCTATTCAGACAAAATTTCAAAACTTTTTCGTCTAATTTGATTTGATTTTTGATATTCATGTACCCCACCCACGCAAATCCATATTAGTCACAAACCTAAAAGTTTTAGCTATTACTACTAATTATTTTTACGATGTATGTGGAGGGTGGGTAGTAGCAAAAGATTGAAATTTAACAGTACCGGTGAGTTAGAAGGTGGAATTGTGGGGTAGGGTACTTGAACGACAGGCGCCATGGGGAAGAAACAGCATTCCAAGGACAAGATGTACATCTTGCACTCAGAATGGCAGACAGAAGGAGGAGGATACAAGAGCAAAGGTGAGAAGAGGGGAGGGGCGGGGATGGGCGGGGAGAGCAGAAATGGGAGGAGAAAGGAATGGAATAGTGGATTGGAGGGAGGAGTGGGTGGAGGCGAAAGTTTCAGGAGGAGGAAGAGAATGAGGGGAAAGAGAGTTGGAGACACGAAGAAATCAACGTCGACATGAGCGAGGAGAGAATGGAGTAGGATGGGCCGGGGAAACCAGTTGAAACCCAAGCAGAATTGATGCAGGAGCAGGATGATGGTAGCGGTAGTGCAGTGATGAGATGAGATACTTGACACCTAGAGACGGCAGAGAAAACGTGAATGAGAATAGACGATAGGAGGAGGGGAGGAAGTCAGCGTTCGCGGCGAGTTCTGATGCTTGTCGCCTTGCAGGGGGGCTAGCAGCGAAAGCGCCTCATCGATGTCTTCCTTTCTTCTGCTGCTCTCTGTCTCTGCAGCCGTTTGAGGTCCCTGCTTCTAAGAGGAGAGGAGGAGAGGAGGAGAGGGCTGAGATGGTGTTATCAGGATCCTATGATGACGCCTCAGGGGGTTGTTTATGATATGTTGAACATCATTCCCTACGTGCAGAAGAACAAACGGTGAAGAAAGCTTTGTTCTTGCATAGTGTCTGTGATGTTTGAGTGGATCTCTTTGCTATGCACTCTCGTGCCGATGATCACTCTTCTCAGTCTCTGCAAGATCCCTAACACGTTACGAACAGATGCCCTGTGACGGGGCAGCCGCTGAGCGTGAAGGAGCTGACGAAGTTAACGTTTCACAAGAATGAGAAGGACGAGTACCACTGCCCCATCATGTTCAAGACCTTCACTGCCCACACGCACATCGTTGCGATCAAGGTGCGTTCGTGAAGAGCCTCTCTCTGGCCAGTTGTGCTAACTCGTCCTCGCAAGACTTCTGGGCATGTCTACTGCCATGAGGCGATCGATACGCTGTGTTTGAAAACCAAGGTTCGTGCGTGATGATGTCGGACAGAGCAGGTGGAGAGTTGAGACTTGAATGTGTTCAGAACATGAGAGATCTTATCACTGACGAGCCTTTCACCAAGAAAGACATCATAACCCTCCAGGTTGACGTCGAGTTTCTTCGCAGGGGTTTTCCTCACTGACCTCGCCGTCTTTACAGGACCCTCACAACTTCTCCAACAGGGAGATCAACAAGTTCCAGCACATCCAGTCGGGCGAGGACACCAAGGTGGGGCAGGCTTGCAAGGGACAGGCTCACACTTTGAGTTGCAGGCGAGGAAGGTTGCTGAGATGAAAGTGGACGAGGAGACAAGAAGAATTCTGGACAAGGTCCCCCCCTCCCCCCTCCCCTCCATCCATCCATCCTCCTCCCGCTCCCCCTCCCCCTCCATCCATCCTCCATCCATCCTGCTCCTTCTCCACCCCCTCCCTCCAACGTCATCCTCTTCCTCCTCCTCTTCCTCCTCCTCCTTTATTTGTCATCACCTTCCCAACATCTTGTTTTCGCTCTCGCTACCCCTATACAGCTTCATCCCGTCCTTTCATCTCTCCGACTGAGCGGAATGCAGGCTGGGTTGAGTGCACCGGGAGCAACAGGAGCGCAGAGGCCATCGCAAGCTTCTCTACTTGCTGCTGAGGTAGATCGGGAAGATCGAATCTCTGGAGCTGATGCCAAGGAATGAAGGCGAAGGCGAAGAGAGCTAGGGAGGAGGCAATGGAGGCTGAGAGGAACGATCCGTTGAAGGTCAGTACATTGGATTTGCATGCTGGCACTTGCTCCTGCTCTCAGCTGACATCTGATTGCGCATCAAAGAGGAAGAAAGGAATCTCCAGCGGAGCGATGGCTGCATCGTTCACCTCCTCGGCGATTGACGTGCATTATAAGGTGAAGATGGGCGAGGAATGAGGGCGAGGAGATTAATGGAGGAGAGTCGATGACGAAGAGCAGATGACTGACACAAGCATGGCAGGTGGAAGAGCAGGCGATGTCGGAGAAGGAGATCAAACAGGTCTTTTCTCATCGCTTTCCTTTTTCCTCTACGTCGTTCCTCTTCATCTCCCTGTTTCTTTTTTTCATCTCCCCCTTTTCATCCTTCTCCTCTTTCCTCCGCGTCCTGTCAATCACAATTCAAATCCCACATAGTTGATATTTTGAATATTCTGCGAGCAGGAGAGATGGAGGATCATGCGGCAGATCGGGAAGAAAGGATACGTGCAGCTCAAGACAACCCATGGTGAAGCGTTTCTGCCATCCTTCTCCCTCTCCATCTAGACCTAAAACACCTCCTCCCCTCTCCTCTCTCCTTTCTCCTCTCGCCTCTCGCCTCTCTCCTCTCGCCTCTCGCCTCTCGCCTCTCGCCTCTCTCCTCTCTCTATTCTCTGTTCTCCAATACTCCTTTTTGCGGCCTTGTGCTTCTCGCTCCCTTGCCTCTTTACCCCTAAGCATTTTCTGCCCTGACATACCCTTGTCATGGTGTAGGAGACTTGAACCTCGAGATCAGATGCGATTGGGTTCCCTCGACTTCTGAAGTATTGTCTTTATACTCATTTGCTGGGTATGCTAACCTTGTATTGCAGAATTTCTTAACTCTCTGCGCAAGAGGATATTACAACGGTGCTACACAAGACTTTTTCGTCCTCCCCTCACCTCCACACCTTCCCTCCGCTCCTTCCCTCAGCTCTTTCACCTCCCCTGTCGATCCCCTCTCCTTTGCTTTGTGCTTCCCAATTCCACATCTGCCCCGTTTGTTCTCTGCGCATTTGCTTGCTTGCCCCGACTTTCTCCCTCTTTCGGTCTCACTGAAACCCTTGAAGGAACGAAATTCCATCGTCTCATCCCCGACTTCATGATCCAAGGAGGGGACCCAACGGGGACTGTGAGGACGATGGTCGGAGGGATGGTGCTGACGGAGGGGCAGGGGAGGGGAGGAGAGAGCTGCTGGGGGGAGAAGTTCGAGGACGAGATAGACAGCAGGCTGTCGCACAAGTAGATGAAAGTTTCTGTTGCCTGCTCCTGCTCACTCAATTGCTCTCGCTTCTCCAGTGCGCGGGGTATCCTGAGTATGGCGAACGCGGGGCCGAATACCAATGGGTCGCAGGTAGGAAGGGAATGAGGAGGAGCACTGGAAATGAACAACTTCCACAGTTCTTCATCACCTTCAAAGCTTGTCCTCATCTCGGTGTTGTTCATGGCGATGGGAGGACGAGGGCTGACAGTGAGTTGTGACAAGACAAGAAGCATTCGATCTTCGGCTCTGTTGTCGGTGGCATCGACACGTTAAGGAAGTTGGGTGAGTTCAGCTGCTGAGCACCTTGCATGGATTTTTGTGAGAATGTTACATGTATACAAGTGTCACCGTGAGATTGAATTTGAAATGTCTGGGTGAAATTTGATGCTTTCTGATATCTATTGGCTTTGCAAAGGCGAGACTTTGATGAGAAACTCCTGACTTCTCCTGGACAGAGAGGATCGAAACAGATGCCAAGGACTGTCCGACAGAAGACATCATCGTCAAAGAAGTGGTATGGACGATGACATGCCTTGACTCCTGACAACCGTGTACTTCCCTACACATGCAAATCTCACTCTTCCTTTGTCCGAGACGACTCGCATACCTGGTCTTTGTGCAGTGAAGTTTGTTGCAGGTCGTGTTCGTGAATCCGTTCGAGACGGATCTCAAGGCGTACTTCGAGGAAAAGAAGAGCAATGAAATCAAAGAGGCGAGGGGGCAGTGAGACTGTGGCGGTACGGGGATTGAGGGAGTTACAGGTGGAGGACAAGAAGAAGAAGAAGAAGATTGAAGCGGAAGACAATGAGGGGTTGGCTTCTAACTCGCTCTCTTGAAGTTTTGCAGTTCACGCTGAGCTTTCCCTCCTCCATCCAGTTTCACCCAGTGGTACTCGAACCCTTCGGCGGCTGCAGCAAGCAAGGTGAGGAAGGGAAGAGGAGAGGACGGGAGAAAGGACAGGAGCTTGGAGTGGGCACCATGGGAGGGAAGGAAGAGGGTGTAGGGAATGAACTCGTTTCCGCAGGTCACTCTCTACAAGGAGGGCGTCGGCAAATACATCGCGCCAAAGAAGGAGGAGGAGGTTAGAGCCAAGTCCTGCTGCCTCCTGCTGGCTGATGAGCTGTCCAGGGCAAGAAGGAGGCGGCGGAGCAGCAGGATAATGGGGATGACATGTGAGAGATGCCGGAGCTGGGGAAGAGCTGATACAAGGCAGGTGGGTCAACGTTCCTCTCTCGAAGCAGAAGAACAAGGCGGCTCCTCGTGCTGGTTTCGGAGACTTTTCGAGGTGAGAGCAGTCAGTTGATGACATCACTCGCTTATATTACATTCCAGTTGGTGATGAGGAGGGAGAAACAGGAGGGGGGGGGAGGGGGGAAGACTGTGAGTTTGGAAGGGTGAGGCAAAAGAAGGAAGGAAAGGAGAAGACAGGGGAGAGGAGGGTACAGTTGTCTTCACCTCAACATTGGACCCGATGCACATTAACCTGATCAACGAGGTCCCAACGTAACTTGAAGTGAATGTTTTAAGTGACTGCTATTATCCTGAATCCGTGTTCTTCCTCTCCTTCTGTGCCATGGCGATTTGCACTGTCCTGTGCCGGTGCTTGCTCCTGCGAACCACGTCAGGAGAGCAAACTTGCAGTCTACGCCGCCCCTCAACCTGTACGGGGACTCTTGTTTCCTCAGGCATCGGGTTGTTCCCGTGTCTTGCCACAGGGTCCTGCCGGCAAGTCGGGCAACTTCCATCTGGGAACGAAAGAGCGAGTGAATGAGGACAAGATGAACCCACAGTTCGCCACTTACTCGGCTTGCGCAGCCAGTCGTCGATACAGTTGGGATGAAATCTATGACCACACGGAAGGACCCTCCTGCAAACAGCCAGAACCAGTCAGCCTGACTGTCAGACTTGAACCTGTTTCTCACCATTCATGTTGTGTGTCAACCTCAAAACAGATGGCGCAAGGATCGTTATCCGGAGGAGCGTTGTGGCTGATGGGGAGGTTGTTGATTATAGAATGTCTCAACGGGTCCGGGATCGGCGTCATCGTGAGGACTTCAGATCTCCGTGCCTGGTTTCCCCCGTAGAAGGCAATGCTGAAGATGACAAACAGAACAAACAAACCAGTGAAGATCCAGATGGCAACAAACACTGTGGAAGCAATCTGCATGGATCTGCAGACTGCCCAGTACGTTACACCGCACGACTTGAACGGAAACACACGGCTAGTCATCCAACACAGGCAAATGATGTGTCCTGGTTCGACTAGAGGAACAAACTTGCCAACAAAGTCGATGAGGTTCTGGAAAGGAAGCTCTGTAACCTCGCAGGGGCCATGCTCCCAGTACACTTTCAGCTTTGCAATCAGCTGAATCATGTAGAATATTCTCAGAATCACGGTGAAGCACACATAGGCCAGAAGCAGCTTGAAGTCCATCTCACTTTGTGTTTCTAGTGGAGCGCTCGCCAAGGAAAATATGTAAAAGATGACCAACCCAACAGCAATGCTCGTCGTCACAACATCCATCAGGATTGTGAAGCGGTTAATGCGAAGGATCCTTCTGGAATATTGTCCACCTGTAGCAGGCAAGCATGAGCAGCAGCAATATTTTATATCTTTCACATACCTGTCATTGCATCGGGCATTTTTGCGAAAAAATATCAAGTCGGAGAAGATATAGGAAACCGAAACAAACAAATAGCCAAGGGTTATGCACTACAGGTTTGAGAGAGAGGCTTTCGACTTCACCCCAAAACTCGAGGTGTTAAATCCACCACAGCGTATCATATGCCTACGTGAATAATCTTTTTCTTGCAGTTGAAGATGGTCAGTATTGTGATTCTTCTGTAAATGAAAATGGGTCAGCTACAAGCAAGTAGCATTGTTCTCCCAGAAAATTCTCTTGACTGTCCCGTCTTGACTGCTAACGCATTGCCACTCCTGAAACAACTCACTACCACACTTACCATGCTTTGTTCGCATCATCTTTCTCTTCTCTCCACGTCCTAGTCCATCTCATCCAACTTAAATCTAGACTGGCCCATCGTTTTGCAGCACCATGATGCCAAGATCTTGTTCAGCTGCTCTTTCCCCAAAGTGACTCTGATCGATTCTTCTTCCTTTCTTTCTTCGTATCTCCACCCTCCTCTCTGCCTTTCTCCGTCGCTGTCCCTCCTTCTCTCCTTCGTGCTTCGCGCTCCCCGTAAAAGGCATTTTTGATTGCACCAACCAACCCCTAGCCTGCACCCCCACCCCCACCAGCTGAGCTACACTACCAGTTTCAACAAATAAATAAGAGGACCCCTGGTCCATTGGTTGGATCTGTACTGGGATAAAAGAAGATTACTTTTAGTTTTGTAGGAGTATTTAAAATTTTATTCTAAACTTTGTACAAGAATTGTTAGGCAACAGAGACGTAAATCCATGACTGTCGGTACAGATATTGTACTCTCTTCTCAAAACTTGTTTTACGTTGACTTCCCCATGGCGTGATCGTGTTGTCGGTCGTTCTCGCAGCCTCTCGTTGCTGCTGCAGGACATGCACAAGTCCTCGGCCTTCCCCATCGTTGTAAATGCTGTCACTTGCTTCCTCCTCCTATCCTTGGCTGACGTACAAGGCAACGAGCGACCAATAGTTGGTATTCTTTCGCAACCTTGTACTGGGTTCCGAGGTTGCAATGAAAGCGGCAGCTACATCGCATCTAGCTACGTCAAGTTTGTCGAGATGGCGGGCGCGAGAGTCATTCCGATTATCTTCAACGCTCCGCATGATGAGATCATGTTCAGGATGCGATACGTGCACATGTTACTATTCCCAGGAGGTAAGAAGTTTGGATATGATTCGTACCGTGTGATTTATACCGATATGCTTTGTACCGTGTTTATGCGATGCGAACGTGAGTGACGTTTGATAGGTGCTGTCCCTCTGCAGCCAGGAACTCTATTTTTTGAGACATCGAAATCTCTGTTTGAACATGTTATCGATCTGAACAAACGTGGGTTCTGGTTTCCGCTCCATGGGACATGTCTTGGATTTGAGCTCTTGCATATTCTGGTAGCCAGAAGCGGAGGCGTGTTGCAGACATTCAACAGTACAAACTGTCGATCTAAATTGAATTTCACAGAGTCAGCTCGGCATTCGCGGCTCTTTCAGAATTTCTCCAATGACTTGTTTGAAGCTGCACGGAAAAAGAAGATTGCTGTGGAGCATCACATGTATGGTGTGAGTCCTGAGGCGTACAAAAACTTCCCAAGTCTACAAAGTTTTTTTCGAATCCTGTCAACGAGTGCAGATTTGCAAGGGAAAATCTACGTGTCGAGCATGGAGGCCATCGACTTTCCTATCAGTGGGACTCAATTCCACCCAGAAAAACCAGTTTTTGAATGGAAAACAGGGCAGGAAATTTCTCATGATCCACAAGCAATACTTATGGCACAAATGTTATCAAATGCGCTCATCACAGAGGCAAAGAAAAACAGCAGGCCTCCGCTATCAAAAGGGCCCCAACTGAATTCGCTGCTCATCTACAATTATTCTCCGATTTACATTTCCGATGACTCAATACCATTCGAACAAGTTTATGTATTCCATACTTCTTCTACCCCTCATCCTCGTTCTCTGGAGCGAATAAATTAGAAGCAAACCAGTAGTCTCTTCCCTCCCGTCTGAAAATTTCCATATGTAACGGCAAGCCCCCCTCAGGAGAGTTCTGTAGTAGGTGGGGTGGGCTGATGCACTTGCCTGCCATACTATTATGCCAGAGTGATGTTTGCGAAAGGGGGTGGGGGGTAGGGGTACAGTAGGGCCGTATGGCGGTTAGTCAACTGGGCAGCAATGGGAGGAAGGGTGCAGAGCAAGAGAGAACATGAAGCAGAGGGGAGGTGGAGAAGTGTGTGAAACGAGGCGAGTGAAGCATGCAGCTCAACAGCAAGGTCAAGAAGATCCAATAACTTGTCCAGGAACCTGAAGCCGAGCAGACAAGACCATGCCTACTAAACCATTGTCGGTTCAAGTCAATGGTTTCGATTCCTCCAATGGGCATGGTGAGACAACCAAACATGGAATCAGAATTCCTCCTGGAGCTCCGATTGGCTCTCGCATGTCGCATGGCCTTGCTAACACCAGCAACTCACCACCGAAACTTGCGATCTCCTCTCCCTCTGCGAGGAGGGGATCGCAGACGCAAGGAGAGACGGCATCCAAGTATGGCTCGCCTTTCAACGCATGCGCCATGACTCGAGCTGCTCCTTCTTTTGAGCATGACCTAGTGTTCCGAAGTCCAAGTGACAGAATCGCAAGCTACTACAGCCCGAAAGCGATGAAGCTAACGAAAGCTCTGTTGGAGAGGCGCCCTTCAGGTCATGACGTGGGGCATGCAAGCAAGGTTTGAAGATTACCCAGACAAGAAGTTGGATTGATTGTGTTTCTACTTTGCAGTCGTCGTTGCATCATCCTTCAGGTAGTCCCAAAAAGTCGAACAGATCTGAAGCTTCGGTGTCATACGATGATCTCAACAACCGTGAAGATACGCCTGAACATGGAGAGCCTTCTGAGTCTCGAATGAGATTTCACAGGCATAGGTCCCTCTGCGCTGTGTCTTTTGAACGTTGCTGATTCAAAATATTTGTTTCCAGGGAGTTGCAATTGAAGAGAGTTGACATCATAAATCCTTTGAGCAAGGAGGAGATTGAGTGGATCGATGTAATAGGCTTCTTGACTGTATTTCGCGCCTTGACTTTATTTGGTAGAAATTTGAATCCTTCATGTCTGGAATTGGAAGCGATTCAATAGCTCCGATCAAGAAGGAATGGATATACAATGCTTGCGAAGTAGCAAAGATTGATTCCTTTACTGGCATCAACAAGACGGAACTTGATGTTTTGGTCGATGAGATGCTGTCTGAGATGAATGACATGTATATTGATAGTGTACGGTTGAGCATAGCAGAATATCTTCTCTTGCATCGGCCCGAGCGCAGGCGCTTACAGATCCACGAGACACCTCGAGAGATACATTTGAAGCACAGATTGGAATTCGTTTTCGGAGAAAGGTAACAAATATCTTCATTCGCAGGATAACTCACTGTTTTGATTAGTTTGAATCGAGGTAACAACAACCCTCCACAAGGTTGGACCCATAGTGTCAGACAGGCCCGTGAAAACATTTCTAATATGCTCTTCTCTGTCAATTCATGTATTCTAGAGATACAAAGAATTTGGATGAGAGAAAGCACCACAAAATCTTTCGAGAATTCTATTCTGTTTGATGTCGCGAGCAGTGGTTCCGCTAAGACTTTAGAGCTTGAAAAGTTCAAAATTTCGCAGATCGATTACTGCGAATCTGTACGGAATATTCTCAAGAAGAAATGGTTACCAGAAATCATCAAAAGTTTGCTTCGACCTCCATATGATATTCACGACGACCTAGTGAAGTCAAAAACTCATCTATTTCGATCAATATCTGTTCTGTTGACGAGGCAATTGCGAGGTTTGCTGGAGGCAAGTTGCAACCATCTAGCACAGTACTTCGAAGAATTCCACCCGCTTGATGATGAAGAGATCCAAGCGTCTGTCAACGGAGCAAACGACATCAAGATTTCTCCTGCCCTCTTCGTGAAGCTGATGATACGTGGAAATCAAATCCGTATTGAACCTACTCTTGAAGAGATGGAATCGACTCTTTCCTCTATCATAGATCAAGCGGTCTCTGCTGTTGACGGATTTCCTGTTATAACTTGCGCAGATATGGCATCTTATTCGCCTTATTCAGACTCCGCAGCTCAAAATGATGATCGTTTAGTCACAGATGAAAAGTTGGAAGAGGACGCGTCCAGTCTCGCAGCTCAGTTGTTCGACAACTCTGACAGCCTCACTTGTCTGCGAGTTGTGCGAAGTGACGAAGAATCGATTAGATCAGCTAAGTCCAGGGTAGCCCATGTGATTGTAAACAACCTTGAAGGTCCCAAGAGAATCGTCAAAATTTTCGAACAATTCATCCATGAGTACAACAATTTGCTATCAATCGATCACGTTAAAATTGGAGAAGAATTCAAACATGCAAAGCACTCTTTAGATGATTACAGGAAGGAAATCAAACGGTACAGGAAGGCTGCTGAAGATGTGAAAGATTTGACAATCGAAGAAGTTCAAATGGGTTTATTTGTGGTTCAGACGGAGCTGCTGAAGAGAGGAATTTCTCTGAAGGCTAATGCTATTGCAGACACGCTGCTACAGCAGGTGCTAGTGGAAACAAATGAAGAGATGGAAGAAATCTGTCAGAGATTTGAAGGTTTGAACTCAAGAGCGATGGAAAAGCCGAAGGAATCGCATGAGATGAAGGCGTTGAAAGCTTATCTTGAAGCAGCCCCACAAGAGCAAGCCTTGCTTCAAAACAAGATCGAAAAGGTTGTGAAAGGAATGGACTTCTTGCATGAACTTGGCAAGGATATACCGGATGATGTGATGATGCTGAACACAAAGACCTATCTATGGCCAGATAAAATTGTTCCTGTACTGGACGCGGCGATGGAAAGGATATTGACGCAAGAAGAAAAGATGGAGGATCAATTGAGAGATCGTCAGAAGAAGTTCGAAGAGGCTGTAGATGCTACAACGCAAGAAATCGTCTCTTTTGAACAATTGGGAGATCCGAAGCTTGTAGAAAGCTACATGCAACAAGCGATCAAGGTCCACACTACTCTGGAAGAGCTGCAAGAAGAATTGAACAAAATCAACGAGCAAGAAGAAATATTCGGATGGAATCCAACAGTCAATCCTCAAGTAGAGCAGAACCTCAAGAAACTAGAGCCCTTCGAAAACCTGTATAGGACCGTCTATGACAGTCAACAGATGATTGAGTCGATGCTCCACGGATCTATTCTTGACCTAGATCCTGAGAAGGTCGAATCTGACATTGATAACTCTTGGAGGCAAGCTTACAAGTTCACAAAGACATACAGTGAAAAGCCGAGTATGCTTGCCCTCTCTGAATTCATGAAAGATTTGATAGGCTCTTTCAAGCCCCACGTTCCATTGGTAGCCATTCTTTGTAATGGCGGCTTGAGGAGCAGACATTGGGAAGCCTTTGCTCAGGTCGTCGGTTTCTCTATTAAGCCTAATGAGCGAACAAGTCTTCAAGATATGATCGACAAGAAATTGGAACCTCACATTCCGAAGATGGAAGAAATCAGTGACTCAGCCAGCAAAGAATGGTCATTAGAGAAGAACCTTGATAAGCAGTTGTCCGAGTGGAAAGAAATTGAATTTGCAATGCAGCCATACCGCGACACAGGAACTTCCATACTGGCTGGAAGTAGCGTTGATGAGATACAAGCAATATTGGATGATCAAATTGTCAAGACTCAAACCATGCTAGCATCTCCTTACATCAAGGTTTTCATGCAAAGGGCAAAAGAGTGGGATGATTTCCTGCAGACCACCCAGGAAGTGATTGACTATTGGTTAAAAGTTCAAGCACAATGGCTCTACCTAGAACCCATCTTTGCGTCAGATGACATCAAAAAGCAAATGCCGAAGGAAGCAGAGCGATTTGGGCAAGTTGATAATGTGTTTCGAACAACTGTTTCGCGATGCATGGAGGACCCCAAAGTTCTAAGTTTTGTCAAGACAGATGGCTTGATTGATTCCCTCAAGGAGTCATTTGAGTTACTGGATTTGATCAACAAGGGACTGAATGCTTACCTAGAACAGAAGAGATTGTTTTTTCCTCGGTTCTTTTTCTTGTCGAACGACGAGTTGCTCGAAATCTTGGCTGAGACCAAAGATCCTCTGCGCGTACAACCTCATCTGAAGAAATGTTTCGAGGCCATATCAAAGTTAAACTTCAATGAGGACTTAATTGCAGAGGGCATGATCAGTGGGGAGGGTGAGAACGTTCCATGGCCTCGCAAGATTAATCCAGCAGAAGCACGTGGGGCTGTTGAGAAATGGTTGTTGCAAACAGAAGGCATGATGAAGGAAGCTGTCAAAGATCAGTGCTCAAAAGGAAGGATAAGCTATCAAGAATTGAATAGAGAAAAATGGGTTCTCGAATGGCCAGGAATGGTTGTTATAGCAATCGGACAAATGTACTGGACCAGTGAAGTTGAACAAGCAATCGTGGATCCCAGTGGGCAAGGAGTCAGGAAATATGCAGAGAAATGTACTCGTCAACTTGATGACATCGTTGAATTGGTACGAGGGTCCTTGACGAAACTTCAGAGAAACAGCATCGGAGCCATGGTGGTCTTAGATGTTCACGCAAGGGACATGACGGTCAATCTGGCAGACGAAGGTGTCAAATCGAATTTAGACTTCTCTTGGCTTGCTCAACTTCGATATTATTGGGAAGAAAACAATGTGGTCTGTAAGATGATCACAGCAGAGATCAAGTACGGGTACGAGTACCTGGGTGTCAGCTCGCGTCTTGTCGTGACTCCTCTCACTGACCGAGCATACCGCACCTTGATGGGGGCTTTACAGCTCTACCTTGGTGGCGCTCCTGAAGGACCAGCTGGGACAGGTAAGACTGAGACGACAAAAGATCTTGCCAAGGCCATTGCAAATTACTGCGTCGTTTTCAATTGCTCTGATGGACTTGATTATCTCGCTATGGGAAAATTCTTCAAAGGAGTTGCCAGCTGTGGTGCTTGGGCATGCTTCGATGAGTTCAACAGGATTGAGCTCGAAGTTCTCAGTGTTGTAGCGCAGCAGATCATGGTGATCCAAAGGAACGTCCAGTTGGGTTCAACCCAGTTCGAGTTTGAAGGGAGCACCCTTCAGCTCGTTCGCTCCTGCGCAGTTTTCATCACGGTAAGATTCTTTGCGCTTTCCCATCAACCTGATGTTTCGGGTCGCAGATGAATCCTGGATATGCTGGACGCAGTGAATTGCCCGACAATTTGAAAGTTTTGTTCAGGACTGTTGCGATGATGGTTCCCGATTATGCCATGATTGGAGAAATATTGCTGATGTCGTTTGGCTTCAGTGACGCACGAGTACTTGCCAAAAAGATTGTTGCTACATACAAGTTATGTAGTGAGCAGTTATCATCTCAGACGCACTATGACTACGGCATGAGAGCTGTGATGGCCGTCCTTCGAGCAGCAGGCAATCTGAAGCAAGTGTACACTGAACAAGACGAGGCAATTTTAATGCTCCGTGCTATTAGAGATGTGAATGTGCCAAAGTTTCTCTCACATGATCTACCTCTGTTTGAAGGCATCGCCAAAGATTTATTTCCTGGCGTCGAGTTGCCGAAGCCAGATTACTTGAACATGCTGTCCGCAATCAATTGGAGCTGTGAGCAGAGCAATCTGCAGCCAGAGAAATACTTCATTCAGAAAACAATCGAGCTGTATGAAATGATTGTCGTTCGACATGGTCTCATGGTGGTTGGCCTGTCGTATGGAGGGAAAACTCGCAGCTACCGCGTTTTAAGTGACTCTCTGGGTAAACTCAACGAGCTGGGGCAGAATGAAGAGAACAAGGTCCGAATCTACACCATGAACCCCAAGAGCGTGACATTGGGCCAGCTGTATGGACAGTTTGATCCCGTCTCTCATGAATGGACCGATGGCATCCTTGCAATCAACTTCCGGGCTGCTGCATCTGATCAAACGCCGGATCGTAAATGGGTTCTGTTTGATGGGCCTGTCGATGCGGTGTGGATCGAGAACATGAACACTGTCCTTGATGACAACAAGAAGCTCTGTCTGGTGAGCGGAGAGATCATTCAGATGTCTTCGTCCATGAACATGATCTTCGAACCGCAAGATCTGGAAGTGGCTTCACCAGCGACAGTTAGCCGTTGCGGGATGGTGTACTATGAGCCCCACCAGATGGGAATGCTGCCCAGCCTGAGCTCATGGCTCAACACGTTACCTGAGACTGTCTCCATAGCGAACAAAGAAATCATTGAGTCTCTCTTCCGATGGCTGGTGCCTCCGGCCTTGAAGTTCCTGAGGAAAGAGCTGAAAGAGGTTTCGCCCTCCTCGGACAACATGATGGCATGGGGGCTGTTCAAGATGATCGACAGCATGCTGACAGACTTCAAAGTAGAAGACCCGAAGCAGTTCAAGATGAGCGAAAAGGACAGCGCAACGCAGGTGGAGGGTATCTTCCTCTTCTGCCTGACTTGGAGCGTGTGCGCCAGTGTGGACTCGGCAGGACGAGAGAGGTTCACCGAGTTCATCAAGGAGAGCGCGGCAGGGACCGTTCCTCCGCCCTACAACGAGGAGGGGGAGAGAGGCAACTACATGATCATGAACCCGTACCCCAAGGAAGGCAACATCTATCAGTATTACTTCGATACTGCAAAAGGAAAATGGAACAGCTGGACGTCCAAGATTGACAGAGAGCCGTTTGACACGAGCCTACAGCCCCACGAGATCATAGTGCCGACCATTGATACCACCCGATACACCTACCTGCTGGATATTTGTTGTCGAAATGCTGTGCTGAATCATGATCTGAATAGAATGGCTTTTCTGCTTGTTGGACCAACGGGTACGGGCAAAACGATCTACATCAACAATCACCTTCTGAACGGTCTGAGCCCCGACGAGTACACGACGATCTCTTTAGGGTTTTCAGCACAGACAAGTGCGATGCAAACACAAGACATCATTGATGGGAAGCTGGACAAGAGGAGGAAGGGCGTGTATGGCCCACCCGTTGGCAAGAAGTGCATCGTCTTCATCGATGACCTCAACATGCCCACGAAAGAAGTCTACGGAGCGCAACCTCCCATCGAGATTCTGCGGCAGTACCTGGATCATAACGGATGGTATGACAACAAGGAGAAGACTTTCAGGACAATCATTGACATGATGTACGTATGTGCGATGGGGCCTCCTGGGGGAGGACGTACCTTCATAACTCCCAGATTCTTGAGATGGTTCAACGTGATCAGCGTGACGGAGTTCGACAATGAAGCCATGACAGGGATCTTCGAATCTATCATCAAGTTTGAGTTTGACAAGAGAGCTGTCTCCCAGACGATCAAAGGATTGAAGGACGCTGTCATCAAATCGACCATGGACGTGTACGATTCAGCGCTGGAAAAGTTGTTACCTACTCCGATGAAAAGTCACTATTTGTTCAATTTGAGAGATTTCGGGAGAGTAATTTTCGGGTTTTTAATGGCAGATACAAGCAAGCTGACAAACTCTGAACAAGTTGCAAGGTTGTGGGTTCATGAGATCTTACGAGTCTACTATGACAGGCTCAACGATGATGCAGACCGCGAGTGGTTGATTCAATACATCAGGGAAGTTCTGAAAAAGAATTGGAGCTTGGACCTGAACAAGATGATGGAGCACTTGATGACAGAAGCAGATGAAGGCGTTGTTGGAATCCCACAGATGCGTAGACTCATCTTCACTGATTTCTGCGGCCCAGATGGCAAGGGAGGTTATGCAGAAGTTCCTGATCCGCAGAAAGCTATCGAGGTGTGCAACACGTTTCTGGATGACTACAACGTGATAAGCAAGAAGCCCATGCAACTTGTTCTGTTCTTGTTCATGATTGAGCATATCAGCAGGGTTTGCAGAGTCTTGCGCAGCCCTGGTGGAAATGCGTTGCTAGTTGGCATCGGAGGGAGCGGTCGACAAAGTTGCACACGACTAGCCTCATTCATAATGGACTTCACAGTTGTTGAGATTGAGATATCAAAGACGTATGGAAAGAACGAATGGAGAGAAGACTTGAAGAAGTTGCTTTCCACTGCAGGAGGAGACGGAAAATCAACCACATTCCTCTTTACAGATAGTCAGATCAAATATGAGTCCTTCGTGGAAGACATTAACAACTTGCTAAACACGGCAGAGGTTCCAAACCTCTTTGCGTCGGACGAAAAGGCGACGCTGGGAGAGAAGGTGAGGCCAGCGGCAAAGCAGCAAGGCAAAACTTTGAACACCCCAGCTGAGGCCTGGGCTTTCTTCATCGACCGATGCAAGTCGAACCTGCACGTTGTCTTGGCGTTCAGTCCCATCGGAGAAGCCTTCAGGAGCAGGTTGAGACAGTTCCCCTCCCTCGTCAACTGCTGCACCATCGACTGGTTCACTATATGGCCCGATGACGCGCTCAAGTCTGTGGCCTCCCGTTTCCTGCAGGAGGTCGAGATGGCTGGGGACGTCCGCGAGAGGTGCGTCGAGATGTGCATCGAGATGCATGTCAGCGCACGCAAGATGTCAGAGAAGTTCTTCACCGAGACGAGGAGGAGGAACTATATGACTCCCACCTCCTACTTGGAGCTGATCAGCACGTACAAGACGCTCTTAGGGGTGAAACGAGAGAACGTGGCGATGCTGATCAAGAGGTACAAGAAGGGGCTCGAGGCCTTGAGCTTGGCCGAGGAGTCTGTGGGCTCAATGAAGCAAGAGCTGCTCGACCTTCAGCCCGGCCTTGTCAAGGCCCAGCAGGACACGGCGGCTCTCACCGAGAAAGTTGAGGCCAAGGTGCCCGAGGTGGAGGCTCAGAAGGCCGTGGCTCAGAAAGACGAGGAAGCGACTGCTAAGCAGGCGGCAGACGTGAAGAAAGTGAAGGACGAGTGCGAGGCCGACCTGGCGGAGGCCATCCCGATCCTCAACGACGCGCTCAAGGCGCTGGACACCATCAAGAAGCAAGACATCGACCTCGTCAAGGCTATGGGCAAACCTCCCGCTGGTGTGCAGCTCGCGATGAAGGCTGTGCTTGTCATGCTCGAGATCAAGCCCGACAAGAAGCCGGACCCTGACAAACCCGGTGCGAAGATCGACGACTGGTGGAGCCCTGCAGTGAAGCTGCTGGGAGCTGGAACTCTGCTGCAAACACTGAGAGAGTACGACAAGGAGCACATCCCCACTAAGGTCATCGAGAGGATCAGGAAAGAGTTCAAACCCGACGAAAACTTCACTCCCCAGCAGATAGCCAAGGCCTCCAGTGCCGCAGAAGGTCTCTGCAAGTGGGTCCTGGCCATGGAGGGGTACGACAGGGTAGCAAAGATCGTCGCTCCCAAGAAGGAGAAGCTTGCTCAAGCAGAGGCGGAGCTGTCGGAAGCGATGAAGGATCTTGATGCGAAGAGGTCGGCGCTGAAAGTTGTCGTGGACGAGTTGAATGGGCTCAAAGATCAGCTCACTGACTGTGCACAAAAGTCGAGAGAGCTGCAAGAGCAGGAGGCCTTGTGCCAAATAAAGCTTGAAAGGGCTGAGCAGTTGATCTCAGGGCTCGGAGGTGAGAAAAGCAGGTGGACAACAGTGGCGGAGGACTTGGAGGTGGTGTACACCAACTTGACCGGAGACGTCCTGATATCGTCCGGGTACGTAGCATACCTCGGGGCTTTCATGAGACACTACAGGTCCATTCGTCTGCTCGTTGTTGCCTTGCTGACTTGCTTTGCAGGGATGAAATCACTCGTGAGTGGGTATCGCGGCTGGCCGAGAAGGAGGTGCCGCGTTCCGAGACCTTCTCCTTGGAGTCTGTGCTGGGCGATCCCGTCAAGATCAGGGACTGGGTGATCTTCGGACTACCAGCCGACTCCTTCTCCGTCGAGAACGGGATCGTGGTGTCGACAGCAAGGCGGTGGCCGCTCTGTATCGATCCGCAGGGACAGGCGAACAAGTACTTCAGGAACATGGAGAAGAACAACAACATCAAGATCGTCAAGTTGACTGATTCAGACTTCATCCGGACGCTGGAGAACTCAGTTCAGTTCGGTGCCCCGGTGCTGCTGGAGAATGTGCTGGAGGAACTAGACCCTTCGCTGGAGCCTCTCCTCTTGAAGCAAACCTTCAAACAGGGTGGAGTCACTTGTATTCGACTCGGGGATGCCACCATTGAATACTCCAAGGATTTTCGATTCTACATCACCACCAAATTAAGCAATCCGCATTACATGCCAGAGATCGCCGTCAAGGTGACGCTGCTGAACTTCATGATCACTCAGGATGGACTGCAAGATCAGCTCCTTGGTATTGTGGTGGCAAGGGAGCGGCCTGAACTTGAAGAGGAGAAGAATGCTCTCATTCTACAGAGCGCTGAAAACAAAAGGAAGTTGAAAGAGACGGAAGATAAGATTCTGGAAGTGTTATCTGCTGAAGGCAACATCCTGGAGAACGAAGAAGGCATTCAAGTACTCAAGGATGCCAAGATAATCGCCACAGATATCGAAGAGAAACAGAAGATTGCTGATCAAACTGAGAGGCAGATCGACGAGGCGAGGGCAGGCTACACGGACATTGCCTGGCGGTCGTCCATCTTATTCTTTGCAGTCTCAGCTCTTGCAAACATCGAGCCGATGTATCAATATTCTCTGACATGGTACGTGGGGTTGTTTATCCAAGCCATCCAAGAAAGTCAGCCGTCAAGTGATTTGGAGCAACGGTTGAAGAACCTCTACGAGCATTTCACTTACTTCTTGTACAAGATGGTGTGCAGGTCGCTCTTTGAGAAGGACAAGCTGATCTTCTCCTTTCTCCTGTGCACGCGGATGATGGCAGCGGAAGGAAAGATTCACGACTCCGAGCTGAAGTTCCTGCTGACAGGAGGAGTGGCTGTAGGGGAAGTCGAAGCAAATCGCCACAGCTCGTGGCTCTCCGACAAGAGCTGGGGTGAGATAATTCGCTTCTCCGACTTGGAGCAAGGCGCTGGCTTCAAGCAGTCGGTAGATGAGCACGAGAAAGAATGGAAGAACATGTTCGAGTCGGCTGAGCCGTTCAACTACGAGTTCCCGGGGACATGGAAGGATTGCTCTTCCTTCACTAGACTGATGGTTATGCGATGCATCAGACCTGACAAGATTGTTCCAGCCGTCATGCTGTTTGTCGCCAAGGAGATGGGTCAAAAGTTCATTGAGCCCCCCCCCTTCGATCTCTCAGCATGCTTTGAGGATTCCAACCCTTGCTCCCCTCTCATCTTCATCCTCTCTGCTGGGGCTGATCCCAACGCCGCCCTCTTCAAGCTCGCGGATCAGAAGGGCTTCAGCGAGCGGATGAAAGTCATCTCCCTCGGGCAAGGGCAGGGCCCCTCCGCCGCCAAGTTCATCCAGGAGTACTACGAGACCGGCGGGTGGGTGGTGCTGCAGAACTGCCACGTGTACGGCAGTTGGATGACCTCGCTCGAGAGGATCTGCGAGGAGTTCAAGCCGGACACGGCCAACAGAGAGTTCCGGCTGTGGCTGACGAGCTACCCCTCCGACGTATTCCCGGTCTCAGTGCTGCAGAACGGCATCAAAATGACCAACGAGCCGGCCAAGGGGATCCGACTCAACGTCAAGGGATCGCTGCTCTCCGACCCGATCGCCAACGAGGAGTTCTTCAACTCCTGCAAGAAGCCACAGAAGTGGGTCAAGTTGTGCTACGGTATGCCCGGCTCTTGTTTGCGCTCCCCTCTCCTGACTTGATGCCGCAGCTCTCGTGTTCTTCCATGCTCTGATCCAGGAGAGGAGGAGCTTCGGTCCACTGGGCTGGAACATCCCTTACGAGTTCACCGCCGGCGACATGTCCATCAGCATCCGACAGACCAAGATGATGCTGGACGAGTACGAGGAGGATCAGTTCAAAGCTCTCAACTACCTCATCGGCGAGTGCAACTATGGAGGGAGAGTAACCGACGACAAGGACAGGAGGTATCTCCTCTGCGCGCTCGCTGACTTCTACAACCCGCACTTGTTCGAAGACGAGTACAAGTTCTCGCCGTCAGGCATCTACCGCTGCGCTGCCGGCACACCGAGCTACGAGGAGCTGATCGACTTCACCTTGCAGCTCCCCTTGACCCAGCAGCCTGAGATCTTCGGCCTCCACGAGAACGCCGACATCACCAAGGACCAGCAGGAAACCAACTATTTCTGCGACACTGTGCTGCAGACCGAGTCCGGGAACGCGTCGGGGGGGGGGACGAGCGGGGGATCGCAGGGCGACACTCTGGATCATCTTGCAGAGGAGATGCTGAAGAAGCTGCCGCACGCCTTCGACCGAGAGAAGACCCTCAAGAAGTTTCCCATCAAGTTCGAGGAGAGCATGAACACTGTCCTCGCGCAGGAGCTCATCCGTTACAACTCGCTGATCGATGTGATCCGGTCCTCCCTCGTCAACCTCCGCAAGGCTCTCAAGGGCCTGATAGTCATGTCTGCCGACCTGGAGCAGGTCCAGATCGCTCTCAACACCAACAAGGTCCCTGCCCTGTGGGCCAAGAAATCGTATCCCTCGCTGAAGCCGTTGGGAGGTTTCCTCACCGATCTGCTGGCAAGGATCACCATGTTCCAGCAGTGGATCGACACGCACCAGCCGCCTGTCTTCTGGCTGTCGGGCTTCTTCTTCGTGCACGCCTTCATGACCGGAGCGATGCAGAACTTCGCAAGGAAGTACACGATCCCTGTCGACACTCTGAGCTTCGAGCACCTGGTGATGCAGGAGGAGACGTACAGCTCTCCTCCTGAAGACGGCGTATACGTCAGCGGCATGTTCGCAGAGGGCTGCAGGTGGAACAAGGAGAAGCATATCCTGGACGAGTCGGAGCCTAAGGTTCTCTTCGCCGTCATGCCGATCTTCTGGTTCCGGCCAGCCGAGATGACTCCGAAGCAATGCACGTGGCGGGAAGAGAGGAGGGACGAGAACGGAGACCTGATAGCCTCGGGGTATTACGTCGCTCCCCTTTATAACACAGCAGCGCGCAGAGGAGTGCTTGCAACGACCGGTCACTCATCCAACTTCGTCTGTCCCATCGTGATCCCCAGTGAGAAGCCGGAGAGTCACTGGATCAAGAGAGGGGCAGCGCTGCTGATGCAGCTCAGTGACTAGTCGATGACAACATATGTTACGTGATGAAATAAAAGTTGAATATTTCTTGAAAGAATCGGTTTGATAGGGTCTAAAGTGCAAAGATGAAGAAGAAGAAGAAAGAGAAGACAGCGGCAAGCGGTGTCCACAGTTTGCCGTTCTTCTCAAACGTAACCCGGATTCTTTTCCGAACTTGCGGGCTCCTACGTGCAGCAGCAGGGAGTCAGTCAGTCAGTCAGTCAGTCAGTCAGTCAGTCAGTCGGTCAGTCAGTCAGTCAGAGCTTGCTCGAAGACTATGATCTCACCGTAAGAATGACATCAAGAGGGCTACGAGCAACGAAGGTAAGAGCCCGCGCACGAGCACCTTGGACGACATCCTGGCAAGCAACGACAGCCCCGCAGCACCGGCTTTCTCCTGGAGAGAGGGTCATGCAACTATCAGTTGAGCATGAAGAGAATGCCTCGTCCTCCCGCGGTCTGCGGGTTGAACTCGTGGCTTGCTGGACAGCTCGTGGGGCAGGCGCCTGGTCCTGACCATCGACCTGAAGAACAGGTTCTCTCTTGTGGGGATCCTGAGCGACTGAGCGCGAAGTAAACTCTCAGCAGAGGATGCAGCATAAAGGAATATAAACAAGATGAAGGAACGCGAGCGTGAGCAGAGAGGATCTGTGTTCGCACCTGTTTCCTCCTGCACCGGCGTATCTGCCTGCTGTTCGATCCTGTGAGCGGGAGAATTCTCCTGTTTGAGTTCTCAGATGTGATGCAAGGCAGTAGGATCGATGACGACCTTGTCCTCAAGTGCGTCCTTGACCTTTTGCTTCGCATGCTCGCTCAAAAAAGCCTCAAGTCGAGGCAGGTGAGCTTTGCAAGCACTGCTTCCCTGATCACATCAAAGTCAGTAGTCAATCTCAGGATGGGCATCAAGGTTGGTCAAGAGGACATACCTGCTCCTTTGCTACAACCTCGAGCAAATAATACTGAGCTAGCCGGCTTAGCACTTCTCTGTCTTCCTGCTGCTCCTGTGGCGTCCCTTCCCGAGAGTAGGTATCGAAGAACGATTGCAAGAGCTTTCCTGCTCGTTCCGTGCGACCATCATCAAGGAACTTTCTGAGCTTGTATAGAACTTCAACAAGAACAGGAGGAATCTGGCCAAAGCACTTGGACGATCCATCAGGACAGAAGCCCTGCAGAGTGAAGTCTTCCGCCTCCTCCCCTCTCCCTAGTTCGAACAAGGCCTGTATCACTACTGCACATGCTCGCCTTCTACCTCCCCTCACATGTTGAGCAGGTTCGTGAGGATGATCAGAGCTGAAGAGGAGGAACTCTCTTCTCCCCTCCTCCAGCGCTTCCTCTCTCCTCCTCTGCAGCAGTAGCGCCTCCGACGCGAGCATTGCGCACCGGCCTCAACCCACTCACTGTACAAACTTATAAGTATTTTAATTTCTACTATTACAGTATTTGATCTATAGTTCTGATATATTTTCAACTGTAATATGAATTTTTGCAATACTGATATGAATCAATTCATTCTAAATAATAAAACATGTTTAAAATAATATTGATCTTTCCCTGTAGTTTTCGATCTTGGTAGTAATTAAAACCTTATTTTAGTTGGTCTAGGAAGCACCAAACCAAGTCCCCTGCTTTGGAAAGTAGGGTGGGTGATGAGAAAAGAGGGGTGGTAGATATATAAATGATATCAAAACTAAGGATACAAAGGGGGTAGGGGTATACACTGGGACATGCACGAAAAGGGGACGGTGGTCGGGCGTGCATTCCGGTTCGAAGGTTTGGAAGGAGCTCAGGGTAGGAAGGGGAGGCGAGCGAAGGCAAAGGTAACGTAGAGGGAGAGGAGCAGGAGGAGAGGTTGAGAACAACCAAGTTCGACGGGCACAGATCCTCAGAACAAGGTTGCTTCGAAGCCAGAAGCTCCTGACAATCTGAGACCGGTCCTTTCAGCCTGCCGTTGACGAAGGGAGAAAAACACTTTTGCAGAAGGCTTTATTCGCTTCCAGAAAGTTCTTACAAAGAGGTTCGCAATGGCTGATGAGGTCAAGGAACCTACCAATGGGAATGTGGGAGAAGGGACGGAAGAAGGCACGGGGAAGGGTGAAGCGAAAGAACCTCAGGTACTCAGCAGACCTTGTTGACATCGCCCTCTGAATGTTTCGGTCACAGTCGGCCAACGATCGCCTCATGGGAGAGATTGAGAGCATCATCAAGTCTCCTGATCACTTCCAGGTACATCAGTCATGTTGAGACTTGAGCAGCGCTGATCCATCCCTCTTGCAGGCCCTCAAACTCCCTCCTCCTCACCTGGACTTGCTAGGAAGAGCTGTTTGGGATATGACAGAAGACGACGTCAACAGAGCATACAGAAAGTTGACAAGATACTGCCACCCCGACAAACTGGCAGGGATGTCAGCCGAAGATGCAGAGAAGGCAGAGAAAGCATACGAGAAGCTGCGGATAGCAAAGGAATGCCTGACCAAGGAAGACACCAGGGGCCCGTACGTTCGAGAGCACGTCAAGTGCGTCAGGATGGAGAAGAACGAGGATGCCATCAAGGGACAGGATGTAGTAGGGACTGCTGAGAGGTGCTCCCGTGCCTGCTCAATTTTTCTCTGGTCCTGACTGTGATTTTCTGCAGAGCCAGAGAGTGGGACCACCAGCGACGCAAAGAGATCGGACAGATCCGAGGAAAGGAAGCAAGGGACATGGGGCAGAGTGTAGCTCGTGAGATGGAGAGGAAGAGAAAGTTGGCAGAGCTGAAGTGAGCGAGGAGGTGCTCGTTCCCCGCAGGTGCTGACGAGAAGCTCAGGCGATTGGAGAGGATGAAGGAATTGAGCCAGAACATGAGCTCCGAGAGCTCCGACGAGGAATCGAAGAGAAAGCACAAGGCACCGGTACGTTCCTTCTGCACGCTGTTGAGGGAGAAGTGACGACCTTGCAGATCGTGAAGAAGCCTGAGTCCCAGGTCGATGACGACGAAGAAGCAAGGAAGGTGAGCAGAGCCGAACCGATGCTACAAGTTATAATGACACAGCTTGTTGATATCACAGAAGCGGCAAAGAAACGCTAGGAGGAATCGACTTGGACGCATGGGTGTATGATACTGTTTCCATCAGCATACCAGGAAGATGGGCACCTGGGTTGTCCTGCCTGCAACCAAGCGATAAGAGAATGAAATCAAATATCAGAGCAAGAGGTGGGGATCGTACCGTATTGATTGTCTCCCCAGCATTGCATGCTCCCTCGAAGTGTTATCCCACAGCAGAATCTGTCTCCGCACCTTCACGTGAACTCAGCGTCGTTAGCGCAGGATTCCGCATCCTTCTTACGAGCTGCTCTGCCAGGTCTCAGTCGCTGTGGGGCTGTTCTGCCCGGTATCAGAGTTGCCCCAGCACAGCATTTTGTTCGCTTGTCCTCCATATGACACAGCAACACCGCAGCTGTTCTGCATGCCAGCAGACACATCTGTGAACTTCCTGTGGAGGCCGTCAGTGTTGCTCAGCACCTTCGTGGACATCACGTGGTTGAGTATGTCTTAGAGCCTGACGACTGACCGAAGTTGTCATGTCCCCAACACACGACATTCCCTTGCGTGGTGGACGTGCTATCCTTCAATATGCCGCAGGTGTGTGAGAGCCCAGCAGAGACCTCAAGGAGGCGTCACAAACCGTTGCAAACAGCAAGAGCAAGTGTACCTTGATGAAAGCTGTCCTAGATGGCAAGCCACTTGCTGAATCGAAGGAGTTGGCTTGTCCGTATCTTGAATGCAGTAAGGACTTTGTTACCATACAGCAACGCACGTACGGGTTGAATCCCCAGCAGATAATCGAGTAGTTGGACATGATGGCGCAGTTGTGACCGGCTCCGCTCGAAACCGCGATAAAGCTTCCTTGCGGAGCGTTGGTCCGTCCATCTGCCGTCAGCCCCCAGCAGTATATCTTTGATGTGCTCTTCTCAATCCCGCAGCCATGCCTCGAGCCAAGATCGAACGTCGTGTAGATCCGGCTGGGAGGGAAAGTTTCGTTATTTCCCTGGAGTCCCCAGCATTGCATGCTTCCCGTCGAGAACTGAACGCATGTGAGCGCAGATCCGCACCGGATCCTCGCGACTGTCCCGGCGCTGTAGGTCTGCGGCATCCAGAGAGGTCACAACACGGAATCATCCCATTGCTGTACGCACACCTGAGAGACTGACGTCGGAGAGAGAGTCTCGGAAGAGATGTCTCGTCCCCTGCAGCATCGGGCATGGCTTCAGTCACATCAGGAGATGTAGCTCGAGGAGAAGTTTACCAACATAAGATTGGGCCAAGTGGATTGACGGCACATGCATGGGCATCTCCGACCGCAAAAAGGTCAGAACAAGTTGCAGCTGAAACGAAACTGATGTGCGAGATAAACAGAAGGCAGTTGAAGATCTGAAACAATTCTTTCATGCTCCCAATCCTGCCGCCAATCACCCGGACCAGCGACGTATTGAACTTCCCGGAGTCCTTCTTGATGATACTCGTTATCAGCAATCTTTCCTTGCCTGGTGGAACCGTTAAAACGCCTGCTCACAAGAGTCAAAGTCGCCGCATCAATCTCCAGAGGTATCTTCTCATTGCCCCATCGCTTCCCCTTCATCTCCCCCTCCTCGGCATTGTTTTCTACTCCATCCCCCTCCATCTTCAGCCCTCGCCCATCACTTGCTGATTGACCATTGATCGGCGTTGACAACTTTTATCTGTATTTTTACTCAATATAATAAAATGAGTTTTAGATTTGGTCTGCCGGCATCTGCGGAAAGGCATGAACTGAGGAGTGAGTGTCCCATGGAGGGGGTGGGGGTTATATTATACCGGTTCATATAACATGATTTGGAGGGGTATGGAAGGTCTAAGGCTTGCTATCATCTCTAACAATGTCTATCAATCCATTTATCTCGCACATCTCTAGGTACATATAAATACATCTGTTCTTGTTCTTCATGTTTTTATGAAAGATTGATTTTACATTGTCTCTTATAAGCTGTTGCTTGGTTGTTGTTTCAATATTGGATACTGCTTCATTGAATTCTCTCTGCATCTTTTTATATAGGTCCTTCCATATCTGCTGTCCTTTCCTCGCAATCTTTTGCTTTGTAATTGGTTCATCTGGTCTTGGATGTCTAATGAAAGCTTCAAAGGAGCTCAAAGAGCCACTGCCAATTGTTTTCCTCCTTTTATTGTTCGGTTCCAGCTCTGCAAACAGATCTGAGTATGATCGACCAGAACGTAGTGATGGCCGTATTGCCACTGGTATCACTATTCCATCATCAAGTGACAATCCTGGGTCTATCTCATCTAATTCAACATTATATGATGACATTTGCCTTAGTGTATTAGGAACAGCGGTTAATGATTGATCATTTCATGTTTATAATTTTTTATACCTTGCATTTTTATGATGCAATATATAAAATCAAGGCAAGGAAGTATCGACATGTGAAAAGGACAAAGAGATATGCAAATGGGATATCGACAGTGAGAAATGCCATTGCAGACATCAGATGATCCTACAAATGTTTATAAAAAATCTAATTGATCCATTGTATGTGAAAGACTTCAAATGATAAAGGTTCAGAAACAGGCACAAAACATGACAATATTTTTCAGGATGCAATAAGAACAACTGCACCAGATAACATCTTGAATGATACTCCGTTTATAATTCAATAAAACCATGCCAAACCATAGTATTGATTGATGATAGAAATATAAAAATAATCAATTGTGTTGTGATTGGAAGAACTAATTGAACCTAGAAAGATAGTCCTCCTCATCAGTGGTTGTTGGATTGATGAGCCCTGTGAAATCCTTAGGATAAACATTCTTGCTGATGGGATCTCTCATAAATGGAGCTCTAAATTTGAAATATTGCATAAGACAGTTATAAGATACAAGATTAGAGATGCTTATCCATGAAAGATATGACTTATCATTGGGTTCCTCTGAAAAGACACCCTCATTGTGTTCAGGGATCTCCCAATCAACAAGGACCATGATTGCTTCTTTCTCTAGGATGCTCCTAGGAGAATGAAATACCACATTTCGGATTGATTTGATGCTGTATGCAATCTCCTCATCATCATAACGATCCTCCTTATATATACGTCCTTTATATGGTGGCAATTCATCCTCCCAAACAAAGTCAATAAGAAATCCTCTTGAAAGGAAGAATGAGAACATAGGCAATGGGAAGTAGAAGGCAGATAGGCATGGATTGCGTTCATGATACGAGGGCATGTTGATGACCTCAAGGCTTCCCTCCTTGGCACCAAGATATCGTGAGTTCTTCTTCTTTTTCCATAAGAGGGCCTTGAAGTTGAATTGTTGATCATCATTTGTTTTAACATCAATGAACATCATAGGGAATGTGATATGCCTCTCAGTCCTGCTCTTGAACTCTTTCTTGACAGACATATAGGACTCATACACGGAGAAGGATAAGGTCTGTTGAGCAATATTGCTATTGACAAAGTGTTTGCAATATTGAAGGATGTTTTGCAGGCTTACAGGGACCTCTCTCTCATCAATTCTCTTTGTCATATCGATCCCACATGTGCTATCAAAGACAAATCGATCCTTCTCAAGATGATCCACAGATCTTACAATGTTGCCTACATGAAGCGAAGCGTCATCATCATTGGAAAAGTAGGAGATGTTCTCTTTACCCATGACAAGATGAACCTCATCATTTGTTTTATTGGGTTGATTTGACATGCTGTTGTTACAGATCAAGCAATCAAAGACACCCGACTTATCCATCTTGCAGAGCCTTGAGAGACTGATAGATGGAATTCCAATCCCATCAGACAGTTTGATTTTGTGCTTGGTGCCTGTGTGATTAGATTTTACAACAATAACACTTGTTTCATCTTCTCTATGGATAGCCTTCACAGAATATTTTCTAATGTTTTCTTCTACAAATTGTTGTCTTGTAAGAGAATTTCTTATCTTATGTATCTTTCTGTGATATTCGGTTTCCTTTTTCTGATTTGCCACACGGATTCTCTTTTCCACATGCCAGTCTTCCTCCTCTTCTTTCAATCTATCATTCTTCATTGAGCTGTTATTGTGTTTGATTGTAGGCATTTTCTCTTTTCTTGTTTCAGGTTTTGAAGAACTCTTTCTTTTTAGTTTATTGTATTTTAGTCTTATAACCTGTTCAGCCTCGTTTTGACTGCCTTCTGTCTTCATCGAAACCTTATTATCTTCTTTTGTGTTTTCTTCTGTCTTTACCGAAACCTTATTATCTTCTTTTGTATTCCTTTGAAAAAGTTTTCTCAACATTTAAGCCTGTTCGTGTGTCGTAATCATGATATAAAAAGAGATACCCAATTCATTTTTTGCTTAAAATTGTGCAAATGCAACATACATAAATATATATGGTAGTGTGATAAAAGATTTATACAGGATAATGTTATATTCAATGAAATTCATTAGAGCACAGAGAGCTAAAAAAGTTGATCTTGAAGCATATGTAAAGTTATGAATATACAATCTATTCTCTCTGAAAATAACAGTGATCACAACAATTGTCATCAAACTCTTTACATACATGCAAACGCATATGGCAATGATCGCATATGAAGAATTGTAGGTCATCTGCACATTCATGGCAATATGCCATGTTATGATATATGTTCTTCTCATTCACATACAATATACAAGCAATATCATCCAACTTGAATTCATAATCACATTGAGAACATCTCCAATAAACATATTCAGCAACACAATCATTGCATATATCAAAGTTTTGGAACCTTGTCTCTTTAGGACACCTGCTCTCACACAACTCACAATCAAAATGGGTGTCTATTAGATCTTTCTCGCATAGCTTGATGTATTGATCAAATATCAAGTCCTTTACAGGGTTTATTATGGTTGATTCTAGGTTGATTGCATCAAATATTTCAATAAACTCTTCCATATGAGTAATTGAAATAAAAAAACAGAAATTCATTTTCAACATGTATTTTTATATATCTAAACAGATCTAGTAATCAACGATGCTCATATGCATAGATTTCTCGTAAAGCTTTAATACGTATCTCTTGGTCCTATACATGTCCCGATTAAGATTATCGATGTGTTGTTTAAGCTGGTTGATCTCGTGTTCCATGGATAGATTATCTTCTGTGTCTGCCTTAGGATCAATCTTGGTTGATTTATGGTGTCTTGTTGTCTTCTTGTTATCATTAGGTGGTGTGCACAATGATAACACGAACAATCCAAGGAATAGGTAATACACCCATGTCGGAAGATTGAACAGTATAGCGAGCAACTTAGCAACAGGCACGCAATTCTGTATAAACTTGAGATAGATTGTACCGATTATATCTGTAATGGCATTCATCTTGTTTGGTCTATCTCTAAGAAATATTGATGATCATTTTTATCTCAATGGTTCAAGTGAAATAGGGATGATGTTAACATATTCCACCATATCGCTTGATTTACCTTTTTGGATGGTATCAATAAATTCAATGTTCTTATCAGAATGTAGATATTCCAGATGTGGTATCTTAGCACTCTGCTTGAAGACATGCAATTTATGCATCAATCTATTCAATGGATGTCTAAGTATCTCTTCATCGATTGTACATACAATACACTCCTCATCTATTTTTAGGTTGTTTATCAATTCAAGACATCCATCATCATTGTATTGTGTGTAAGGAACAAAGTATTGATGATAATATCTGAAGATATGCAATTGAGCATTCTTTTGACAGGTTCTTAGTTCAGACAATGTTTCATTCAGGTTCTTGTATTCTAAATCAGATAGCTTGTCCTTTAGTTCATATATCTGATTAGACATATCCATGAATTTTTCATAATACGTTGCGCTATTTTGTGCCATATTTCTTTATGCCTAATAACCATATATGTTTATATCATTTTTGATATGATGAACACCATGTATTGCTTGCTGCAAAACATTATGAAAATATAAAAAATATCTTTGATATATATGCATATTTATTTATTTTTGGCATTCTATGACAAACATCACATCTTTTCTCCTTGCAACATCCAAATTCTCCATCAACACTATATCCGTTATGGCTTCAAACAATCTGAACAGATACTCCTTGTAGATACAATAAATCAACCATTTTGCCTCCTCATCCAATATGACCTCACATCCATATGTCTTCAGGATCTCATCTGTAAATGACTTCAATTCCTCATATGATTCTGGAGTATAACCATATTTGTGCTTCTTTGCATTCTCTATAACAATTCTCATATCATTTACCATCTCTATGCGTATGTTCTTCTGATTGATCCCGGATATGCAATCCTCTACACCCAGGACCTCTTTCCCCTCGCTCACATCCAATACTGCTCTCATGACCTCATCCATGTATGCCACAACATTCTCTTTTATCATTGCATGGGTCCCTCTGCCCAATCTAATCATATCATGGTGATTATTCTTCATCAGCTGATCTTGGCTCTTATCATCCAATATGTCATACTCACTCACTATTCTTGTTCTCTTGTATGGTGTTGGCTTTAGATCTATGAATGGGCCCAAGATGTATCTCAAGAGCATCTCTCTGATGATGGCATCGCTCACATCGGATCTGCTGCATCCACTCTGTATCTCATCGAACAGCGTGTTTATAGCATACTTCATTGTAGCATCAAGAACAATGTAGGCATCCATCTTCACTCTGATATTATTCTTGGCTTTGCTCTCTATTATTTCCTTGTACATGTCAACATTGAATGCCATCCCTCTTGCCCTCTTCAGTGCCTCAAGTTCTGTAAGTCCCTTTTCCAACATGCGCTCATAGGATGCTGTTACATCACAGGTATGCTGAGATACACCAAACTCTATTAGGAATGTTGGGATCATGTATACAGTCCCATTACAGATAACCCGTCCCTTGAATGATTTTCTTCTGCACTCTTCCATAATCTGCAAGCTCCTGTCAATCAATCTATCCAGAAATCTCTTCAATATTTCAGATATGAAATCCAATGTATCTTTCTTGATGGTCTTGTTCTTGCTCTTCTTGACATACCTCCTTATCCTCTCCTCAAACGACAGCATTGCTTTGTTGTTTCCTTTCAATTTTATGTTATCATTTTTACATCCTGAGCTGATAGTTTTATCTCAAATAGACTTGTATCTATTAGAAGCATTTTTTAACAACGCCTTAACCTGACATAGATATCACATCCATTCATTCATTGGCACATAAAGAGATGAACCATAATAATAATTGATGCCATTTTTCACTGACCCACTCCCAGCCTTCACAGTAAAACCTAACATAGATGTATAGATGCGAATGCAACAAAACCAATTATATGTGCTTCACATTGAGTTGTAGGATGTGTTGTAAAGATATGGCATGTGTTGTGCATAGCAACTCAGAGGTGGTCCTGCCATGTCGAAGAAAGCTAAAGAGAGTGCAATCTATATACAAGGGGTTGCCAAACACATGCTCTCAATGTGCTATATATAGATACAATGATGGTTGCATATCGGGTTGTTGCAAGAGTTGTTGTAAGAAGAGAGCATGTCCAATCCATCTCAATCTAAGCATATGCTCTTGTGGAAAGATGTCCGATGAGAGATGCAAGCACAGGCTGTGCATTGCTTGTTGCAATGACAACGAGTGTATCCAGCATAAGAACAAGTGTGCATGTGGAGAGGATTATCTTGAGAAAGATTGCGTTGCTAGGCTATGCGATACGTGTTGTGAGTATCCACTCTGTTCTTCTCATTGCACATGGTACTATGGAACACGATGGGATATGTACAATGATGCAATGATATCATTTGAGAGAGCTCTCAAGGATTGTAGGTTGTTTCCAGAAGACCTTGTAGAACATATCTTCACGCGCTATGTAGAAGCGAGACCGGCATGCCACAGTTGTAGATTTCTATTTGACTATGACGATCCCAAGCATTATTGTTATGGCTGTGATAGGTTATTTTGTATATTTTGTTTGAAAGAAGATGAATATGATAGTACAAGGTATTATTGTAAAGTCTGTTATTGAAAAATCAATAAAATATGGATCAATCTATGTCATTTCATATATATCTTTATGCATGTTTGATCAAAAATCTATTGCATATATTCTACACTTTTAGAATAATGGGAGATATTTTCGGTGGATTTGGCGAGAACAGCAACACAATATATCTGTGCAACGCTCGTTATGTACAGACTATAAACTACATATCTTCTGAGGCTGATCAATTGTATTTCTCACAAATTTATGGAAAACTGTTCGAATTGTGCCAGCAAATGCTCAACCTGATATTCATGTTATCCTGAAATTTATAATTTGCTGTTTCAATGGTCCTCATTGCATTGTTATCATAATGTTCATGCACAATGCATCTTAACAATGGTATATTTCTATTTCTTATGATGTCTTCTTTCTCTTTTATACTATTCATGAGCATGTTTTCCATTGCGCTATCTGAACTGGAAGATGCTGATAATGATTTATAGCTTGGTTTTATCATAGGTGTTTTCAACTTGTTTAAGAATTTATCCTTGTCCTTTGGGAGCAATAAAATCTCCTGCTCGGATGGATAAATGCTTATGGGCATTATATATATGAATGGCATGTCCTTGGTCAATCTGTATATGTACATATTGCCATTTATGGTCCCCTCTCTGTTTGGTTCTGGTTTTGCTGTATCTAGAAAGAACAATGCCTTATAAAAATTTAGTGATGTTGAAAGGATGCACTCATAATCTTTCTTTTGACATTTGTTCTTGTCTGTCTGTCCTCTGAAAACATATATATTTGCTCTCTCTATTGCATCCTCTCCAAATACCTGTAGTGTTCTGCTCTTTACAACATCTGCTATCCTGTACAGATCAGATATGTATGATGTCATGATCTCTTGCAGTTGGCTGTAGTTGTTTGCTTTCAAGGCCTCTATTGGATCATCCATTCCCTCAAAGTATCCAAGCCTTTTCAATATCTTTATATTGCAGAAATAGGCTATGGCACCATCTATGTCTTCTTGCTTCAGTTCCAATTTAAACATCTTGATGCATTTTGTATCAAACAGGTATGTCAACAATCTATTGATGGCATTGTTCCCATTATAGGTCCAAGCCTTCAACACAAGCTTGTCTCTCTCATCCAACTCATCTATAATCCTCTTTTGAATCAGGAGGAATTCTCTCTTGTTCTCATTCTCATATACAGTCTTTGTTGGATCCTGTAGAACCATCTGATATAGATCGGGGAAGTAAAACCTCAAGAACATTGGTGGTTCATTCTTATCATTCAGCATCACCTCTAGTTTCTGTATAGATTCTACATACTTTTGTTCATGAATTCCAGGTATTGCATCATCCACACGATGTGTGTTTGTCTGAAAGAATGTGACAGTCCTATTCTTCCCCTTCTTAGATAGAGCATTCTGCCTTAGGAGCATGGCCTCCTTGAGCACCTTAAAGAATGCCTTCGAGAACCTTGCATTGTTGCTGCTCTCCTTCTTGTATGCACTGCTCACAAGCCTCGACAGCTTAGATTGCATGCTGAATATGGCGGATGGTGAGGATGACGAAGATTTGAGGTTGTCCATCCAGCTGTATCTCTCATTGGAAGAATTTCTTCTCGATGATCTGGAGGATGATGATTTCCTGCTCTCTGTCAAGGATCTAAGAAGCCTTATATGCTCCTCATCATCCAATTCAATATTGACATCTTTGTGTGATTTTAAAAAAGCTTTTAATTCATCTGAATACAACAATGCATCCAATGTTCTCGATATCTTCCTGTCTTCTTCTGGATCCATATTCAGATCATCGTTCTCTTCATATATATCAAAAATCTCTTGCTGCAATTTCTTTATACGGTTGTATAATCTAAACACAGCCCTAAAATCTATTGGAGCTGGGCCCTGTAACAATTTCTTTAAATCATTCTTCCTCTTGTTTATTTTGATCCCCTCCATGTATATTTCGGTATACGCAGCAAGGTATCTTGTCAGCATTATTCCATCTCTCTTGTCACACAGTCCTATAACAAAGTCAAGCTTGTTTCTGATATTGGTAACGGTTTTAGTGTTGTATCCTGTTTTGTGCATCACATCTCCATATTGGACTATGAGTTTCTTGACATTGTTGGTATTGAATGAGAAATGCCTAATCAATTTTTGGATCAATGCTACAGCCGTATTGTGTTTTACCTCATCTATTCCAGATAGATACCATGGTTCTGGATGGATAATGCTTTTTTTATCAAATGTATTCGTTTCATATGGCAATTTGCACGTCTTATCAAAATCGGGATTTATTGTTAATATCTCTTGTACACTAATGCTCAGATACTCAATTTCTCCCTTCTTTAACAATCCTTTAAATTCATTGATATTTACCAAAAAGAAGCACAAGAAGAATTTGTATATCAACTTCAGCTCTTTTTTATAATGCACATCATGGAGATCATTTATCTCTTGACATACATATTTGATGATATTTAAGAACAATTCATCGTTCATATTGATCGCTTCGGTAAAGTATAATGGAAGATCATTTGGAAATAAATCCTTTCTCAGATTGTCCTTGAATTTGTCATAATTAAATGGTTTCAATAGGCTCTTTAAATAAAAATCCATATCCTGCCTTTATTTTAGGGAATAATTATTGTACTTGAGGTGTTGCTAGTTTTTATGGTGCTTTCAGATTTTTCCAATCAGGAAACAACGATCTTATACTTGTATCAGAGAGCTCTCTCCTATCGTTCTCAATAAATCCAGACATCTTAGGGTCAATCCTTGAGAGTTCTGTGTGTATATCGATGGTTATAGATGTCTTCACCAGGCACCCAGGATTGCTGCATATCTTGCGCCAGGGCATCTTTTCATCTATAAACCCATAGAAGCGTTCAAGTTGGGTTGTGTCATTGGCCTCTTGGCACACCTCTTTAGCAACACGCCGCGCCAATCTATAAAGGTATTCATATAGATCAACCAGCTTAGGATGGCTGCTGAAGTTCAATGAGAGGAGATAGTAGGGCACAACGTTATTGCCATTGATATTCCCTCCTTGGATTGCATCTCGGAATTCCCTTCTCACCCTTGTTTCAAATTCATCAGAGCGTAGTTCATTGAAGAATTTATCGACCAGATAAGGGCCATCCCTGTGAGCCATGTAAAATGTAATATCTAAAGATGTATGACCTGAGTTCCTTTCTAGGACCATCTGAAATGCTCTATGGCTAGGGTTCTCTTGCAACTCCTCCCAATCAATCTTATCAGGATTGCTCTCAAGCAGATGCATTGCGTTGCAGTTTGTGGACAAGGCCTTCCAATCAATAAGAACAGGATACATCTCAAGTATCGTGACAGCGTTCTTGTTCTGTGACAAGTGAGGCGGTGATAGGTTTGCATGATGCCTCTCTAAGAATGATTTAGATAGATGCCTCACCATGGGATTGAGGGATAGGCCTTTCCAATCCATGTCCATGCCTGGATAAGTGAGAAGAGCCCATTTGATGCGATCGGGCATAAGCTATGTCTTGAGTATCATAAGACAATCCATATTCAAGTTTGAGCAGCAAGTCGAATGAGTATGGGTTATTGCTAAAGAAGTGCTCGGGTGTGAACCTAATCTCTCTGTTGCTGGCATATTCAAAGAGCTGATTGGTTGCTGATGTTTTGAATGTTTGCTTGTGTATCTTATGGGACTCTGCCTCATGTAGCCTTTCACATAGAAGGCATTAGAAGCATTGCAATTCTTCCAAGATGCGCCACTTCGGCTATCACAAGAGAATTCAAAAGAACTGCCAATTTGGATGCATACAGTGAGGCAGTGAGAGCTGCAATCTTTGAATATGGACTGCCGAACAGGTTCATACAGAGATAGCATAGCACTACAGGATCTGGGATATGAACCTGATCCTTCATCGCAAGCCATTGGTTGCAGAATGAAGATTGAGTCAAGCGACTGAAAGATGACTGATCTCAAGCAACACATAGTTGGATTGAGTCTCAGGGGCGCCTTGATAGTTCACTCTGGACACTATCCAGGTGCATGTTTATTTCTTCTACAATCCTTTCAATATGCTCTCGCCCGAGTTCGCAATTGCGCGGTTTGATGTAATGATCCCAATCAAATCTGGTCCCATTGCTATGATTCTGCATAGGTAATGGGCGCAAGTGGTGGTGCTCGACATACAAGACATGCCAAAGATCACAAATTTTGTGTTCTGAGCCAAAATGGTGTTACAACTGGTATTCATCAGCGGGAGATCTAAAAGCTCCTCTTCATTCAAGTATTAAAAGTTTCCGCAACAATAATCGGGAAATAAGCAGAGTAATTCACACAATACCACCTCATTGCAAGTGCCCTTATTACTGCCATGGAGACAAATCAGTCTCAATACGGCAGAGAATATCGTAAAACTCGCGTTTCTCCTCATCTTTCAGTTCGCTCCAGTTTTGATGAGCGATTTTATTTCTCCAATTGACACAGCGTTCCTTGTCCTCTTGTTTCAACTTCTTGTACCTCCAAATAAAATAGCTAAAATCACCCTCATCTTTTGGATAATTTTTATTCCGACGACGAAACTCGTCAGTCACAGTTCTGATCTTGCGAACAACCATCTCCTCCGTTGGACAGCTTTCTTTTTGAGTCAAAAGGATGGCGGCCCCAGCTATGATTCCTAGTCCAGCTGCTGCTGTAGCAAGCCATCCCATTGTTTTACCACTTTTATCATTTTTCTCTGTCTCTTGTGCATCACCGTCATCCATGAATGCTGCAGCTGCATTTTGTCGCTGCATTACGAAAAGCCAGATTCCTCCATTTTAACTTAACTTAGAGTAAAATAAAGGACTAGTGAGGGCCCGGCCCGGGGACCGGGACTCGACCGTACCGGACTCGGGACTCCGACGGTCACCGGCGGACCGGCGCCGGGACTCTCGCGGCCCGGCCGGGACATCAGTGGGCAGGATGATGAGGGTCGGTTCTCGCTGTCTTTTCTCTTCTCGCCGCAGTTTGGGGGTATACCTAATCACTTCTCGCCACTATGGCATGCCATGATGTGCGACAGCCTTTTCAGGGTCCGACAAGCCTCCTCTACTCTTTCAGTACTGTAAACTCACTACTGACTTTCAGTGAAACTCGTACTGATTTTTAACCTAACTTATGACTAGGCTTGACTACTTGAACTGAACTGGGCCCCGGCCGCGGCCCGCCGGCCCGGTCACGGGCCTCGTACTGATTTTTAACTTAACTTTGAGTAAAGAAAAGCCGCAACAGGAAGGCATGGCGCCAACGAGCACCGACAAAGGTGAAAGTGCGATGAACCCACCAGAAACATCTGCTGCTGCTGAGGATACTGTTCCGCTGCCAGAGGAAGCGATGGAGTCCTTCAATGTTGAGGTCGATGGTTCGTTTGCATTCAAGGTCAAAGACCAACAGTTTGTTCGCGTTTTTGCCAAGGATCAGAAGCTTGACAACGGACCGATCTTCTATGCTGACGCTGATCAGAAGAAACCTCTGACTTGTCTGGATGGGTCTGACGGGGAGGCGGTGCTGAGACGGGTGGAGGAGCTTCCGGCTGAATGGATCGTGCAGTGGGAAGACACAGATCTAAAGGAGGCAACTGAGAGTGCTAGACGTGGAGGCCCTTGGATCTCATCAGGAGCGGCAGCTGCAGGAGGAGGGGCTCTGGGCGGTGCGATGCTTGCTCCTGCCGCTGCTGTGGCTGGAGTGCAAGCGATTGGTTTCACCAGCACTGGCATCGCCGCAGGCAGCACGGCAGCGTCTATGATGTCAGCCTCAGCCGTCGCTTCTGGAGGAGGAGTCGCGTCCATGGCATCAGGGGGAATGGTAGCGACGCTTCAGAGCATTGGAGCAACCGGCATGTTGGGACTGTCCACAACAGCTGCTGTAGCATGCGTCGGTGCGGCTGTCGTCGGTACGGCGGCGTACGGGAGCTACAGGACAGGCAAGTACGCCTATTCCTGGTACTCAGACCGGAGGGCAAGACTGATGAAGAATCAGCAGCTCGACAAGGAACCGATCTCGCAGTGAGAAGCTCGACGACACGAACCCCGCCACTGATCGTCCGTTGTGACCCCTTGCATGGACCAGCAAGCGGGTTGCAACTGTGTAGCTTGCTATGAGTAATCCGTGAATAGATACTAGTCGAGTATCGATGTCCTTCAGTGTCACTGCTGTTCCAGGAGCAAATTGCAATCATATCGATGTCCTTCAGTGTCACTGCTGTCTCAGGAGCAAATTGCAATCATTCCCACTTTCTCTTGCGCCTCATATTTCCTCGTCTTCGTTGATGAAAAATCAAGATACAAACTTGTCTTTCTCTTCAGCCGTCGTTCCTTTTGTTGTAATGGGCGTCGAGAGTATTAGTTTCACCCTGTACTAAAACTGTAATATGAGGCGGTACTGTAATATGAGGCGGTTGCAACTAGAGTTTGCAGTAGTTGGGGTGGGTGTACTAAACTACCCACCGAATCGATACCTGGTGATACAGCACAGGGTGGGGTATACCTTTTTCGTGTGGCAACACAAGTACCAAAACCATACTTCATTGAAAGAATGCAATCATAAGCTCTATTGGATAAATGAGATAGTCAACTGAAAAAGTTGCCAGATGCAGACGGCATTCGGTGTAACTCTTTCTTTCAAGATGAAAGACCAGTTCAACCTTTTGGCCACCGTTATCACTTGTGATTTCCTTTACCAGCTGAGGCAATAGACGTTGATTTTTCTTTCCGATAAGATCCCCTCGCCGAATGTGTACAGATAACCTGATCGTTCGACTCGCAAGCTTGCTTAATGGTCGCAGCAAAACGAAAGATGAATCAAAATTTTTACGATAACCTTTCACGTCAATCAAGGCCTCTATTGGACTCATAGCTGTTTAAAAATGCATGCCGCGCGGGAAGCAAACATTTCAGCAGAATGTCAGTGGCAGGAGAGAAGCTCAAAGCCATTCATTTAGAGTTTGCAGTAGTTGGGGTGGGGTGCTGATGATACAGGAGAGGGTGGGGTGTACTCTACTACCCACCGATTCGATAGCTGATCATACAGGAGAGGGTGGGGTGTACTCTACTACCCACCGATTCGATAGCTGATCATACAGGAGAGGGTGGGGTGTACTCTACTACCCACCGATTCGATAGCTGATCATACAGGAGAGGGTGGGGTGTACTCTACTACCCACCGATTCGATAGCTGATCATACAGGAGAGGGTGGGGTGTACTCTACTACCCACCGATTCGATAGCTGGCAGGAGAGGGTGGGGTGTACTCTACTACCCACCGAATCTAGAGGAATTGAGGGGTGGGGGTCCGGATGGAATGAAAAAAAGAAAACAAAGTGCTGAATGAATTCCCCCCCCCAAACTCTACCAAGGGGATCGATCGATCTTGTACAGGAGTGGGATCCCAACCGTGGATATATGTATTCGTGATTTTGAAAGAATTGAGTATATAAGTATCCCTCAACAGGACCACAAAAGAGGAAAATCTCTCCTCATGAAACCACGAAACGGAAGGGAGTATGGTGGTGAATCTGACATGCCATCGGATGGCGAACCAGACAAGAAAAAGCGGAAAGTGACCGATAGTGACGAAAACGATCTTGGCAATGCCAAGATGAGAAATATTCACCATCTGAGGGGTTTGTCGATCCCTGATTCTGGAAGTCTTCCAAGTAATGGTCAGGTATTCATCAAGGTGAGAATCTATCCTCCTTCGGGATCGAGCAGTCTCTCCTATCAGCCGTACACGAATACCACCTTGATCGTACCTGCTGCTATTGTGCAACAACACTTAATAGAGGATACCAAATCACTTCAAAGTGAAAGTTATCAAGCTCTACGTGACGATGAGATCAAACAAATGACAAGATTGAACAAGAATGATGCACAGTGGGATAAGAAGTTCCAAAAGGAGTATTTACTGGCTATACACACAAAAGAACAAACGTTTCTCGAACATTTCTATGAAAATACAAGAATAGCACTGTACAACACTATCACATTCCAGAGATTAAAGGATGAGTCCGAAAATGTTGCCTGGGTAACACTCTTCGATGTTGATGTTGACTCTCATTGGCTTTCTGACCATCCTGACCAAGGAGGTATCAATGTTCAAACCGCAGTGAAACAGTACGTATGCGGTATGAAGCACCTTCTATCAGACGCGGAAATAGATGCTGCAAAGAAAGGGTTTGCAACCGTTTCACTCATCACAAACGAGATCATGGCACGCTTAGGGCAGCTGGATCCCAATGCTTTGACATTTGCATATTTTACTGGAGGAAAGGGAACTCGGATTATGATGTTCTCGCCCAAATACTCATTTATCCGATTCAGAAGTTGTGATCCAAAGAAGAGAAAAGACATGGTCTTGAGCCATATCAGGAGTTTGCTGGGGAATGAGGTGTTCGAGCGTGTCTACACGGAGATTGAGAAACGGCAAGATCTATACGTCTACTGCAAATCTTTTGAGAAAAACGACCATCTGTTCGACAGTGCCGTGTATGGTGACGGTGGCACGAAGCCTGATCTGTATCCACACCCCACGACTCTCCTCTTCTCAAGAGAATACCCTTTGCCAGACCAAGGATTCACAACCGATGATATAGAAAGGACCCTGGACCATTTGGCGACAAGAGACTATCGACCAACACCATACTTCATTGAAAGAATGCAAAAGATGTACAATCTGGTCTTTCAACATTGCATTGACAAGTTTGACGAAATTGAGTTGATACACATTGATGCACCTAGGGCTAGAGCAAACAATTTCCCCAAGAGACAGAAGAAGCGTAAAGAGAACAATGAGATGCAAGAACAGGATCATCCTCTCAACACAAAAAGCAAATTGAGACCAAGGATTAACAGCAGCAATGAACAGTTGGATCGTGTGCTTCGTAGTATTTTTGAAGATGAAGAGTCATACAGTGGATATGACAGATGGTTGTCAAAGGAGATGAAGATTATTGACCAGTTGATGAACTATGATCAAGACACCATACTCGCAGCTTGTGATGTTTTCAACATGACTGTGCAAAAAGGCTACAAGCCTGTTGACGATAATGAGAAGACAATGTCGAGTGCTTTGGCTAAAGCAGCTTCTGCAGAGATAACAGATTTTGATAGAAACGTTGACTTTACTTCCGACACACACAGACTTCGGTACTTTGGATCTCCGACATTGGAATGGGAACCAGAACAAAATTCAAGTGACAACGTAGTCAACAAATGTGAAATACTAAAACTCAAGCTGTCCTTCATCACCTTGAACAGGCATCCATACTTGGGCAACAAGACGACCATCTTTAAGGCTCTTGTAATGACTGCTGCATACTTTGCAGACATGGTCAAACGGAAAGATGGGGAAGCAGGTGGATTCATCAGAGAGGTGCTCAAGGACTGGGGAAGTCAGATACAATCGCCACCTCCACTTCATGAAACCGATGTGGATCAGGCAATAGAAAGAGGCTTTGTATTGGTTGAGAAAGCACGCACACGCAATGCAAACTCAGGCTCTACAGTGTACGCCAAAGCTGTTCAGGAGATCAACAAATTCATTGATGAGGAAATGGCTCGTGTGGGATTCAGACTATGTGTCAAGGGTGATTGGGATGTAATCGACCCCGAAATCCAGAAGATGCATAGGGACAAACAAGTACTTAACCCTGTCCAGCATATGGACTCTGAAGCCTTGAACGATCCGCTGCTTGATCTTTTCAAATTCATATTACAGAGGGACCCCTGCGACGCATTGTGGGTGAAAGATGGGCTAAAACAGTTGAAACGCATGTTTGTCGCTTTGGTATACGTATTCAATCACTGGATTGGAGACACAGGAATGGGGTCGGTGGGGACAAAGATGATCACATGGAGGTTGAACGCGGACAGGAAGAACATGATCCGATCGCTCGGTCATGGGAGTTCATGATGCTTTACCTGTACCCTAGGGAAGATAACAAGGAGGTCATCAAGATTTTGCAATATGAGCTGGGACACATCGATCTTGATGTTTTACTTCACGATGGACAGTCATTTGTTGAGCTGCTAACGGAACAAGAAGTTCTTGTTGAGCCTCTCACCATACATATCAATGATATCTTTTTGGTATGATGTATTCGCAAATATCAATGGGGCTTTTACAGAGGGTCGACAGGAAGAAGTGTAATCTGCACTACCTCTACGCTTCATTGCTCATTCTGAAACTCTGCATTGGATCCATAAATCCACCTCTTGAGGACCAATTGATGCTCACAGAAGAGGGCCTTATACTTATCAATGATTGTTTCCAATACATTATCAGGAAGATCAAGCAGGTTAAGCCTCTCTATGTTCTTCTTTCTGCGCAGCATTATAGATTCTTTGATGGATCACAGCAAATCGATGTACTTCGAGAATTTAAGGAGCTTCTTCTCATTGATATGATTATCTGAAGCAAATTGTCGCAACATTGTGCGATCGTTACACAACTGCGTGTAGAATTCCTTGTTGTGTTGTAAGAGCCTGAGAACATCTTCAATGTCCTGCGAGGTGGGAGATGATGACCTCGCGGACAGCGTTCTAGGTTGGATTAGCTTTTGAATATAGGAAACATCCATTTATATCTGTAATTGCATAAAATAGTGAGGATTATGAAACAGTCAAATCATAAAACTATATGATTGTATAACAAACAACATGGAACAAAACATATACAATCGAAATCTGCATTATTTCAGATTGCAACGCAGCAACATCAATCTCATTGGAGCACAAGACATAGCTACAATTATTCGTCTAGATGAAGTGGTTGTTGAAGCATGGCTCACCATGAGAGACAACAATTACATGATGAATTTGTTAATGTTTGATATAAATGAAATCAATCATGGAAGGAATAATGAAGATGCAGACCTGATTAGGCTTGATAGTCATATCTTCAACTTTTTATTCACCAGAGTTACGAATATCAGACACCTAGATATGATCCTAAGATTTCCTGCAGTGAAACATATTATAAAACTCTTCTTTGATGTTAGAATTTTACAAACAGATGATCCAACAACCTTAGATTTTGACATGATCGATAGGATGACACGCAATGCGGCTTATGTATTGCGTCAAATTCAAAATAACAATGGCATGACAGAAGAAGATATAGTAACACAATTGAATGCTGCCAATGTTTCTAGTAGAAGCTCTAATAATACACCTCGCTCCCATCATCGCAACCCTCGTTTGGATCGATCAGGTTCGAATAATGTGTCATCAAAATCATTGTCAGTGAATTCTGCTTCACTAAAGAGCAGATCCCGAAACACAGATTACAAGGACGAGGATTGTGACATAGAGCTATCATTTATTGAAGATGATCCCATGCGTGATCTCATGAAGCATGTGTGCTACAATACAAAGAGGCACGCATATGATATAAAACAGACCAAGGAATTCCTTGCACAAACCAACAACAAGCGCAAATTGCCTATAGTCATTGGAGATGAAGAAGAGATTGATCATATCTTAGGAAAATTTGAATCAAGGACAAGGCCATTTGTGATAAGAAATGTGAACTATCTGAACAGTGACGGCTTAGATCATGGTGGTCTCACCCGTCAATTCCTTACCAATCTGTCTAAACAATTCATTCAAAGGTATCTGAAAAAAATTCCAGGCTCAAAGGATGTGTATATCTTCAAGAGAGATCTTGACGCAAAGCATTACAGGTTCATTGGTTATGTAATGAAATTCCTCTTGATGAATGATTATGGAATACCTGAACGCATAGCGTTGATTGATGTGGCAAGTCTTATGTACAAGCCTATGAGGTCACGAATTAGAGCAAACATCGAGGTTGATGATATGTCTATATATGAAGACAGCAATAGGCATGCTCAATTGTATCAACAGTCAAGGAGCCATGAATCATGGATGAGTGATGTTAGAAACAGGATAATCTCTTACTATGACATCTTTGTGTTCTACATGCTTGACATAGGTGTCAACAAGAAGATGGCTAGCCTTCTCAATAAGAAAAGGAAAAGCATAAAAAAGGTGGTTGATGATATAATACTTGATGTCTTTGATTATGATCCATCCACAAGATACAATGAATTGAAGTCAATGTACAGGAACATATTGCGTGGAATGCAGATCAAGAGCGATGGGATATTCATTGAAAAGGGAATCCAAATAGGGGACATCAGCAGGATATTCTCGTATGTTCAAGACACACGAGCAGCCATGAAGAACATGCTTGGAAGGGTGTCATTCACAGGCAATGCTTCAAATGTTGATATTGAACACATAAAGAATATATTCAAGGGCATGCTAACAATGAGTGATTCAATGTACAAAGAATTATTAGAAGATTGGAAAGGCCTTGACACACAGAATCAACAATTGGCAGATAGATATGTTCCAAGGTTCAAGGACTTCGTTAAAAAAGTATTGGTATTCTGGACAGCAGCGGATCATATTATCAATGATACAACAAGCAATTATAGCATCAGGATATATAATCGACAATTTCTGCCGATAGCTCATACATGTGGTTTTGTTCTAGAATTATCAAATCGTTATAAGAATGTCAAAGAGATGATTTTTGATTTCTTCAAGGCAATCCTATACAACAACACTGGCTTCCAATTTGCATAAGATTCTGTACAATCATTCTTTTTGTATTCAAACTTTGGGCTAAAAATTATAAAATCAATCATGTTTACACAATAGGTTTTATTTCTTGGAGGAAGGTTTGCGAGGATATTGGAACAAGAATTTGAGATAATAATCATTGTGCAATGCCTCATATATGTAGCCTTGGGTTACCCGTGTATTCTGCTTCTCTTCTATCAGGTCAGTGGCAATGGACATTATATCTACATATAATTTCTCAATTACCTTAGTGATGTATATCACCATGTCTTTGGACATCTTATGTTTCAGACCAGCAGACCTGAAGATGTTCCGAGTTTCCTTCGAACTCAATCTTATAGTCTTGTTGCCATCCTTCATCTCTTCCCATGCGCACTCAACAACATGATAACGATTGATGTCTATCGTGATGCTTCTCAGATACGTATCAAGCGCATCCAGAGAGCAATCCTTGTTATCATTCAGATATTTTACAATCCGTTTGACAAATCTCTTATAGATCATGTCATTCAGATACTGAAAGGCCGTGTCGGTGATGTCAACATTGTGCGTGATGTTCTTAACAACATTGTAGATGGATACAATGGAATACATTTGTTTTGTTAGTGTCCACATACAATAACACTCCAATCATTTTTATCGACTATGATAGGCAAATGTATGCAGATAATGAGAATGCCACACACATACTCATATCAAAGGCTCGCCTGAGCAGATGGAAAGCCAAAAAAATAAACTGTAAAACTGCTACAGATGGCATTCTTTATAACTGATGCTCTTAGATATCTCCATTCATAAACACAACATCATATTCTAAATCATTGTCATATTTTACCTTATCGGTATAGTCATCTAGAAAATCAATCACTTGATTATAGGTCCACATATCTCTATCTTTGTGTCTTATCTTATGATCTTTGGTGTAATCATCCATACAATCAATAGGCATTTGATGAAGGTCCTTATGCTTCTTGAAGTGTTCATTGATCATATCAATTGTATCAATAGCAAACATAGGGGTATCATAATCATTGCCATCTAGTTTGTCCTTGATGTTTCTCATGCATTGATTCCTGATGTTTTCAAGATTGAGGGCAAGGCAATATTCACTCATAATTGATGTGCTGCTTGTTGTATATAAACACAATAATTCTAATCATTTTTGATTGGAAACAGTGAATTTGAGGGCAATTTGGAATGAATAATATTGATATTGTAACATTCAACTCACCAATGCATAAGATCTTTATAAACATTTATGATTACTTCTTGAATACCATACAGATGATACTTGTGATATCTTGGATGATGACAATGGATTTGTATATAATACTTAAAGAGATATATAGAGGTGTCATATCAAGTATTGTACGTAGTCGTGTAAAAGGCCTGAGTCATGACGCTTGGCGCAAGCGCCTGCGCTGTGTGACCGTCTTGTACGGGCTGTGTGAAGGCCTTATATATCATCTGGGACTTGCTTAGACCTATATCAGACATACACACTATCAGGTACAAGATCCACATGTAATTCGCTATAATTACTTCTTGAATACCATACAGATGATAGTTGTGATATCTTTATTAGATAACTACAATGGATTTGTATGTGATATGAAGAGAGTGATATAGAGGTGTCATATCAAGTATTGTACGTATGTCGTGTAAAGGGCCGGAGTCATCACGCTTTTTCTTGTAGAGGCTCACTCTAAAGTAAAAATGTAGATAAAAGATAAGAGTAAATGTCAAACAGTAATTCACCGGTGAAGGCAGATGTGGTGTCTTCACTGATTGCAATAGAACCGACTACAGAGTATGTCGATAAGGAGTTGATATCGAGGGTGAGACTGTTTAAACTGACAAGGGAGGAGTTGAGCCATATATGTGAGGATGAAACAACATTCAAGATATGTATGAAGCTCATGGATATTAACAAGAGACAGTTGAGGTCATTATGTAGGAACATAGGCATACTATTCGAAAATGGGTCGGACAACTCGAGTGAGATACATAGAAAGATAAATAGGAAGGCAGACGGATTATCACTAAGCAAGCTCCCAGTAGATCTGAAGGAGCGAATAGTCACAGAGTACAAGAGGATGATGCCCCCAAAATTATTGGATTGGATAGATCGAAGAATGTTAGTGTCCATGTATACTCGTTTTTTAAGGAATCCGAGTGAGGGAATGATAAACGTGATAAAGAGGAATTTTGAGGAAGAGTTGGAGGCGTTATTGAGATTTAAACCACGGAATCAGAGTGCCGGATTGCGCAATCTGAATATGAACCCGAGTGACGCAGCAATAAATTTTTTGGCAAAGCATCCAGAGTATATAGTGAATGAATTCTTGATAGAGAACAAGAATGTAAAAGGTTTGAGATTATTGATGCGTATGAACATGTTACCATTTACAGATGCCTTATCGAAATGTATTCACGATGACATATTTGATCAATATTTACAGAGAAACAAAAAATATGTTAATCTTGCATACTTGTCAGGAAATACAAATGAAAAAGCAATAAAGATAATAAAGTCCTATAGACATAATAACGATTATGAAGGAGTAGATTGGATCAGGTTATCGGGAAATCCATCGATTGCAGCAGTCAGATTTCTGATAAATGAACAAGAAAGAAACGGTAACAGAATAGATTGGCAAGAGTTTAGTATGAATACCAATACGGAAGCTGTAAGATATTTGATAACACATCCACAGTATATCGATTGGGAGTATCTCTGTATGAATAGCAATGATGAAGCGGTGGATTACATTGTAAGACCAGCAAATAGAGGATATATAGTTTGGAGAAGTTTAAGTAGCAATCCGAATGATAAGGCGATAGATTTGTTGATAGATAATAAAAACAGGATAGATATAAGGGAGTTATTAAGGAACCCAAATCCTCGAGTGAGACCTTTGTTGGAAGAGAGGAGGTTCGAGATAGAAGAGATAGATTGGTATACTTTATCGTCTAATCCAATAATATTTGAGTATAGAGATTAGATGAGATTGTTTTTTATGATGATGCAGCGAACCATCTCTGCATTCTTGTTCACTAAATTAGAACATCGCTGTTATTTAGAACTATATATAGGGATTGTTTATAGGAAGTAAACAGTGGGTATTGCAAGGTGTAAGATATGATGGCTTGATGTAGTTTTTATTTATAATAGTAAAAGGTATTGTATGGGGTTTTGTGAAGGGGTGTCATTATTGATAAGCTGAAAGGAACAAGAACTAAAATGTAAAGTTATTATGAGAATGGTGAGGGATATGGGATGTCTCCACATCTCCCAAAGTAGGAGAGGGGGGATGATAGAGGATAGATTATTGGAATTTAGGAGAGGGATTGTAACCATACTTTTCTCGCATCCTTTCACGGCTCTTGATCTGTTCCTGTTCCTGATTTTTGTAATACCATTGAAGACTAGTGTTTCGATGGACCTCCTTGTATTTGTCCTTGATGTCATCGGGTTGTTTTTGAAGCCAATTCTTGCGGTTCTCAACTTTTTTAAGTTTTTTCTCAGGGTCAAGATTATGATATCTTTGTCGTTGATATTCACGTCTTTTAAGGATCTTAAGTTGTTCAGGGGTCAATTCGGTATCATTCATTTAAAGAATAATATAAGTTAAAGTTTTAAATGTTTTGGGTGCGTTTAGGATTATCAAAAAAGTATTTAAGGATATTGAGTAAACCATGAGTGAGTACGATACAGATTGTTGAGACAATACCACCAAGACCAAACCAGCCAATACAGGTATAGTATGGAGTTTTGTGAAATTGTTCTTAAGCTTTTTGATATGAGAGCTTAATGAAAAAAACAAGAATTAGGAATTTTGTAATAGTTTCTGTTGTTGGTATTTTTCACGTTTTTTGCGATTGATCTCATCCTTGTTCTGATGATACCAATTCAATGAGGCCATTCTCTGATTGTCCTTATACTCTTTTTGTTTTTCAGGAGGAAGTTGTTGAAACCATTGCTTATTGTACTCAAATACCTGTTGTTTTTCTTCAGGGGTCTTGTTATGATACCTTTGTAAATTGGTATGATGTGTTCGCTGATATTGCTTTTGATATTCTTTTTGATAACTCTTTTGATAGTCAATCTTCTTTTGAGGCCAATAAGTCTTTTGATATTGTCTTTGATACTCTCTCTGGTAGTTCCTTTGATATTCCTTTCTTTTGAGTTTCTTCAATTCATCAGGTGATAATTCATTTAATGTGATAGAAGAGGGGTCCTCCATTTGTATAATAGTATATACATGAAATTGTTCTTAAGCGCGTTTGAAAGTACTTAAAGAATAGGTTAGTTATAAATTTAAATACACATAAAGTGATGAGTGAGTACGACACGGATTGTTCAGAGCATAAATTAAAAGGTGTCATATGGAGTTTTGTGAAATTGTTATTAAGCTTTAAGACGGAATGAGATGATGCTGTTGATAGTAATCGTGATATCGATCATAGATGCATAGGTGTTGATATGCGGTCTCCTCCTTGCATATATCGAATTCATAGATCTCAATAAGAACATATATAAAGATTATTAAGATAAAATATAGAGATAATGTCTGAAGAGAAGAAGGAGGCAGTAAGAAGATACAACAAAGAATATCTAGAAAGGAGAAAAGAGGATGGGACAATTCAAGAGATATATGAGTACATAGCAGAGTACAACAAGAGAAGGTATCATGAGGATGAAGAGTTTAGGAAGAGGATATTGGAATCATCAAGGAAGTACAAGAATAAAAGGTACAATATGGATGAGGACTATCGTGAGAGAGTAAAAGAAATGAATAGGAAGCAGTATGAGGATCCTGAAAAGAGAGAGCGAATAAAGGCAAGGAGACGAGAGAGGTATCAAGAGCAGAAGCGAGCACAGGCAAATTGGGGAGAGCGCCCCGAACGCGCTCAAGACTGACACATTCATACACAATATCTCGTACAACATTCATATCATACTCGCTATGATTATTCTATCAATACTGAAAAAAAATCTGTATGGATTAAGACGAAAGCCTATGTCGATGTAAGGGATTATGAATAGCATCAGTTGTTGATCCAACCATATTTAAGATGATCCCCAAGGATCTTTTTCATCATCTACAATCCAACGTGAGAAACGACGACGGTTTGATACAGTATCTATTACACTCCACTTCTTCATTTTATGATTCCATTTAGCTCCAAGAGCCTTAACTTCATCTTTCTGTGAGAAAGCACAATCTAAATATATATCTTCAAAAAAACCAATTCCTGTTGGATGATTATACCATTCATCAAGATCTTCTTTAAGACAAATATCATAAATACTTATAAGTTTACTTTTGCTTGGTTTGTCATATGTGCAATAAACTATTCTATCACAATAAATTTTGATTAAACTTTCACCCTTATGAGGTATAAAAATTGCATTGCTTTTATCATCATACGGATTTTTATCAATCTCAAAAACCCACTTCTTTTTACGAAGGATAACACAAGCATTATATATGTAAATAAAATCAGCAGCTTGTGAAAAACATTTTGAAGAAATTTTATCCGAATTGGTAAATAATTCATTTTCATTAATAAGATAACCAAAATAATCGAAATTCATTTGAATTTTTGTAAAGCATACAATCCTTGGCAACAAGTAATGTATAAATGTAAGTATCGTCATTATTATCCCAATGCTGCCTGCTCCAGTGAAATCGATCATCATCTTAAAGGGATATTCACATTGGTCCAAAGCATGATAATATTTAGATGTTTGATAATTATCATTCTTTGTAAGAATGTAACAGAATATGCTGCCTTTACATGATGAGATAACAACATTATACTTTTTGAATAGTGGATTGAACAATTCTATAATAGATTGATTTTCTTCAGCTTCTTCATCTGTTTGAGCATTAAAATTGAAACGCATATGCCGTGAATAGCACTTATTACAACCGCAGTAGTCACAATCTTTACATCTTGGAATAAATTCGGTTTGTCCTAATATCTCTCTAATAGGACGTTCAAGAACATTACCGTTTCCATATTCAGCAAAACTATGTTCTGCCAATCTTTTCAAATATTGAAGATCACTCTCATTTTTAAAAGCCTGTAAACAATGGTTGAGCTCCTTGATATTCCTTTTGTATATGCATGTTTTACATTGAGAATTGCGAATACAGCATAGTTTAATAACAGGCTTATTGATAGCTTCTAACAGTGACCTAGCATCAAATTCAAACCATGGTTCTGGACGAAAGTCTTCCGCTGTAGAATGTGAATTGAAGATCTCAAATATGGCATGCAATCTGAAACCATCATCAATTTGTTTCAAAACAGCTACATCCGCAATTCGAATAGATGTTGAATGCGCAAATCTATGTTCTAATTCAACCTTGCAATCAGTCATATCAGGAACATCTAACGAATTCTTTGAAGATTTACAAATTGAACAGCTTCTATAGATCTGAAACGGAATATCCCCCTCTAAGATAAACTTCATAGCAAGTTTAGCATCCTTATGAATTTGACTCTCTGAAGGACTGTTGTAGTAAGCACAAGGATCCGTTTCCTTGAAATGGGCGAAATGATGGATCCTTTTGTTTCCCTTACGAACAATCAATGGTCTGTTGCATTCAGGACAAACATATGTTTCGTTTTTGTTAGCTAATCTTGCTAGACAATACTTACCCGTTTCTCTATGAATAGCTCCTAGGTTAGGAACATGTGATGACATTGGTAAGGTTTTTCAAATACATATATAATGATAATCCTTAAATATGTTATCATTGGTAAGATCCATCACATGGAGCAGATGTTTCTGAAACAAACTATCGGTCGGATAAGACTTGGAAATAAGTGGTCCAACACAATATAAGGTACAATATCTATATGATACCTCTATAGAAACTTATTGTGACTTATAGAGAGATGTTGAATATATGATTTTATGATTTCAACATAGTTGTATAATGATATAAAGAATGACATAGAGATATCATATGGGTATTGTACAGAGTACGTGTGAAATTGTTCTTAAGCCTTATTAATCATGAGAGCTTGAAGGGAAAAACAAGACTCTTATGAGGAGATATTCTGTAAGAGTTTCTGTTGTTGATATTTTTCACGCCTCTTGCGGTTGATCTCATCCTTGTTCTGATGGTACCAATTCAATGAGGCTTGAGAATGATATATGCGATATTGTTCCATTTGTTCGGGAGTGAATTTTTGGATGCGTTCCTTGTTGTATTCATTCAACCTCTGTTTTTCTTCAGGTGACATATTGTGATATCTTTGAAGATTTGTATGATGGACCTGTTGTTGATAGTTCCGCTGATATTCAATCTTTTTTTCAGGCCAATAAGTCTTTTGATATTCCTTTTGATATTCCCTTTGATAGTTCCGTTGATATTCCTTTCTTTTGAGTTTCTTCAATTCATCAGGTGACAACTCACTTAGGGTGGTAATAGAAGAAGGGTTCTCCATTTGTATAATAGTATATACATGAAATTGTTCTTAAGCGCGTTTGAAAGTACTTAAAGAATAGCTATGTTATAAATTACAAATAAGTTTAAGCAAAAAGATGTTGAAGAAAGATTATGTGAAGAGATGGTATGGCCAGATAAAGGATGGTAAGATCTTCAAGGAGAATGCTCTTGGAAGAACAAACATTATCATAAGTAGTGACAAAAAGAAACTTAACACTGATGATCCAAAGAAGAAGGTGGTAAAGGACTTCTGTGTGACGGATTACAAGAACCCAATGATAGGGCAAAACCTCAACCTCTATGAGGTCCTAAAGCATGGCAGGAACACAGGGTTGCCAATTGATATAGACATATTGGTGGATGATGAAAAGAGGGCCAAGGAGTATGAGAGGATGCAATCAGAGGGCCGATATCCTCTCTTAGATGAGATCATAGAATTTGCGAAGAGCAGCATTGACGTGATGACATATGAATTGGGCATAGAGGGGCTGCATGTAGACAACGTGATAATATGTGAGTCAAATGGCAGACAGCATGCAGAGGCAAGGTACAAACTATCATACCATGTGATACTGCCAATACACCTTGACTGGAGATATTGCCGAGACCTCATGAAGGTAATCGATGTGCCTGTAACAGAGTTTGAAGTGAAGATAAAGAGACATTTACCAAGTCTACAGAAGAATGTTATAGACATGTCAATCTACAAACAGCATCAGCAATTCAGGCTTATAAATCAATCCAAGATGGTATACCACAACAACCAATACATAGTCACACCTACAATCAAGAGGGCCGTCAAACCACAAGGAGAGCCATTCTACAAGTATCTTGTAGGTGAATATGAAGAATCAAACAGGTTCTCAAGGTTTGATCCGAGCATATTGAATGGTAAAAAGAAGCCCTTCAATATAAGCCCTCCAAAGCGTGTCAAGAGGCCATCGCAATTAGACAACGGCACGTTCACCTACACAGGTAAGCATATATTGAAGCCTGACATAAATGAACACTTTGTCATGTATCTCATAAAGACCATACAGAATGACATTATCTCTATCAATACATATAACTGGAAGAAGTTGATTTTAACAGTGACCAATTTCTTGACAGAGACCCCAGAAGAGATGTTCAATGACCTACAGGGTTCAATCCATATCAAATATGAGGACAGGGTTGATACTTTTCTATCTCTCATGATTGAATGGACCCATAAGGCCTACATAAATCATTGTCAATATCTGACATGGGACAAGATCACACTTCTAAACAAGTGTAAGGAATTGAAGGTAAAGAGATATGGAAGCCTATCCAAAGAGCAGATGATAGAAGAGCTTGAGAAGGTTTGTCCAACAGAAAGAATGGACGATATAGAGATACATAAGAACAACATCAAATCCCTTTATGAGACCAAACTAAGCTCATTATACTGTTTGCTAAACTCATTCAATGAAAATAATGAACAAGAGAGGATAACATTGCAAGAGATGTTGTCAAGGCTGAATAGCATGCTGCACAAATCTACGTTACAATGGGCAGATCCAATTGGTAGCCTTGTAATGATTGCCAAGATGTATGATGAGAATGTGGTTTCATCGTGGCACAGACACAACCTACCAAAAAATACAACAGTCAGTCTAGACTATATCAAGGAGCGGTTCAATGTGCTGCCATATCCCTCATTTGGAGAAAAGATAGAATCAGATAAGACTTTCATAGCTCTATCGGCCTCAATGGGATTTGGGAAGACAGAGTACATGCTCCAAGATATAGAAAACAGCGATGATAATGTTCTGATTATAGTGTCCAACATAAATCTAGCAACCACTCTAAGGACAAGAGTGAATGGGATAATGATGGAGAAATGGCTCCAAACATTCAGTCTGTACAATGACATGACGGTTCCTGATCGCTTCAAGAAAGGACGTCTCATTATCTCAATCCAATCCCTTAGCAAGTTAGAACGCTTCGATTACGACTATATCATAATAGATGAGTTAGATGAGCTCACCAATTCATTGGTAAATCCAACAACCGATGAGCGAAAGAACAAGAATGTGAGAGAGGAAATAGTTAATGTGTTGAATGATCTATTCACCTACAGCAGCCTGAAGAGGGTAATATTCGCAGAGGCTCTATTTAGATTTAGCAGGGCCTCTGTAGATTTTCTATATGACCTATCCAAGAGGTTCAGCAAGCCGGTTGATTTCTATCATACAGATGATATCCGTTTTAAGCAAAGGTACAATCTACGGTGTGACATCAGAAGGTACAAAAAAGAGTATAATAAAGAGCAATACAATGTATCAGAATACTTCTTGAAGAACATCATAAAGGATGTGAAGAATGGACATAAGATATGTGGAGTGGTAGTCTTCAAGTGTAACAAGGAACGGTTTGAAAAAGAGTTTGATAAGCATGGCATTAAACATCTGATCATCACAGGGGATAACAAAGAAGAACATAAAAAATACATAAAAAATCCTAAACTGATCAGCAAACACAACATAGATGTGTGTCTGCACACTTTCACTTTAACCACAGGCTTTTCAGAGGAATCTAGAGATTACTGGACCAAGAAGGTGATACTTCTTGATGAATTTGGGAGTGTTCCTAATGGTTTTATTCGTACAAACACCATATTTCAAGCATTGCATAGATTTAGATATGTCAAGGCAGATGCCGAAGGATATCAGAACATAGATATATATTACAAGAGAAATCCAGACTTTGAGCACACCTATGTAAAGTTCAGGAATCAGGTGGTTTCAGAGGACTATCTCAAGCATGTAAAGCATCCTAGCAAGGAGTCTAATTGCAACATGGAGGAAGGCTTTAAAGAGATGTTCCGCAACCTTAGGATAAACAATACAGAGAGGGATCATATCCAGAAACCCTATCTGATAGATTGTTTCAAGTACCAGGTAAGCAAACAAGCCGATAATAGGTTTATAGAAAAAGAATGTATCAGAACCCATGAAGGGATATACTGTGCTCTGAAGGATCATGTGGAGGATGCTGAGGAGACAACCGTAGAGCAGGCAATAAACAAAAAGGACATGTTTAAACACCATTCTGAAGTGCTAAAGGCATACAATTACAATTACTTTGAATACATAAATAATGTCTTGAAGCATCGAAAGGACAAAGAGAGACAACAGAGAGATGCCTTCTTAGTATATATTTATGATATATATCTACATCGTATGGATGTGGAAGATTATAAGAGGATCATTGAGAAGGTATATAAATCTGTAGGCAATGAGAACATTAATTTTAACATAGTGTCGTCATTGATACAGCTATATCATCAAGAGAAGAACATCATCAAGAGCATAAACAAGTTCTTGGAAAACGACAAGCTAACAAGGATGGTCCATAGGATCGTGGAGATATTGGATATCAAGTTTGATAATTTTAATAAAGATACGATCATATCGGGCAAGAACATCAAGATATATGAGAAAGAGATAAATAGTATGTACTATGAGTTCTATATCCAGTTTAAACTGAAGAAGAGCAAGGATGCTGAAAAACCAATATCTAAATTGAATTTCCTGATGTCAAAACTATTCCAAATGGAATTGAAAGAAACAGGTAATAGAAAGAAGTTTACGCATGAAGACAAACGTTTAGATTATTATGATTACACCATGGAAATAAAAGAAGATACACTGAAGATAATAGATTGTTTTAACTATTGCAGCTGAAAGCGGATGTGAATAGGCCTTTGGATTAGTCCCCTAGAAGATCATAAGTGTATAACTACATGGATAGAGAGATGGCATTGCAGAAGGTGTGTGATGTTGGAAGGCCTTAATGAAAGGCAGGGAGTGGGTTGAAGGGAAGGACTGTCGCATTTTCGAAGATTACCTTTTGGTATATATTATAGGAAGTATAAAACGTAATAGTCGAAAATGCGACAGGGGTGTATAGAATAGAGGAAGAGGCATATTGGGGAAGATAGGGATGTATGGAGGGTCGAGGAAAGATACTAAGAGTAGAGTATAACATAGTGATAATGAAAGTGTTAGTAGCAGAAGACTGAAATTGATAAGAATAAAAGTTAAGTTGTTGAATTATAGGTTTATGGATAGGCAGTCAATGACGAATATGTATTTAACACATGAATGAGCATTTTTTCGCACGTATATGGTAAGGATATAAAGATATATAAACGAAATATAAAAAACGAGAAGAAAGGATGCTAGGAACGGTGTACTTGGTGAAACCGGAGAGAGTGAATGGGAGAGTGAATGATGGGAATGTGTATAAGATAGGAATAGTGCGTTCCACAACAAAAAAAAGGATAATGCAAAGGTTCAAGGAGTATGGAAGGGATACGGAGATGCTGCGAACAATGAAATGTAAGAACTATGAGGAAGTAGAGAGTATATTGAAGGCAACATTCAACAAGAGATTTAGATTATACATGGGAATGGAGTGGTTCATAGGAGACGAGAGAGAGATAACAGAAAGTTTTGATGACATAACAAGAAAGCATGCGAGATCAGACGAAGGAATGGTCGATGTATATGAGAAGCGATGGAGTTTTTTTTGTGATGGAAAAGAAAAGAATTATTACACGATAGAGCCGCATAGACTATGTTTCAATGGGGACAATACACTCTATAAAGATTTGTACAGGAGATGTACAAGCATAATAGATAAGGAGACAATAGACGAGGAATGTTTTGTGTATGACTTCTTAGTTAATATAAAATGGATTCATGAGTATTTTGACTTCACGAATGACGAGAATGATGTATACAACAGTGATATATTTATACGTGAGATGATAGATTTAAACAATGAAGTGTTAGACCTATTTGATTATTGGGCAACAGAGACGTATGACTCAATGAAAGAGATATTTCAATGTTATTTTGACATTTTGAATGAAAGGAATTCAAATGACTATTTGAAACTTGAAAGAAGAGATCTGTATGGGTTGAGACGAACTGATGCGGAAGGGTTGTATCCATACTATGGTGTTGAACAAATAAGTGATGTAGTATACTGTTCTGAAGAAGAAGAGGATGAGGATGAGGGTGAGGGTGAGGGTGAGGAGGGAGAGGGTGAGGAGGGAGAGGGTGAGGAGGGAGAGGGTGAGGATGAAGATATTGGTATTGCAGCTGAGAGCGGACAGAATGAGCCTTTAACATTATATTCGGATTAGTCCCCTCCCTATAAGATGAGTTATATATCTACGAGGATAGAGAGATGGCATTGCAGAAGGTGGTTTTTGTTGGAAGGCCTTTATGTAAGGCAGGGAGTGGGTTGAAGGGAAGGACTGTCGCATTTTCGAATAATACCTTTTGGTATATATTATAGGAAGTAGGAAACGTAATAGTCGAAAATGCGACAGGGGGTGTCTAGAATAGAGGAAGAGGCATATTAGGGAAGAGAGGGATATAATGATATGGAGGGCAGAATGGATTATAATGAATGGTAGCAATGATGTTGATGTTTAATTGATATGGATCGTGAAGAGATTTAAAGGTAAAGCAAACAGACTTGTAATAAAGTATGGAGAGAGAATATATGTGCCATTTGAAGAGAACAATGAAGTGAAACGTTTTGGGTGCGAAATGGGATAAAGATTACTTAAAACGAAAGCATATTAATTAGTGATAATAATGAATTACCTAGATATAGATATAAAGAACCTGATCCTTTCAACTTTGAATGTGAGAAAGACATTGACTTCAGAGGAAGATGAGACAGGTATAGAGGACTTAGCTAATGATATAAAGAACAATGGTTTGATAAATCCTATAACTGTGAAAAAGATAGATGGTAATAAATATGAAATAATTGCAGGTCAACGAAGGTATTTAGCAATGAAACTTCTAAATAAAGAATCGATAAGTTGTCATGTATTGAATATATCAGATCAAAAAGCGGAGGAGATAAGTTTAGTAGAGAATGTGCAGAGGAATCAGATGACAACAAATGATAAAGTGAGAGCATATTCAAAATTATATGAGGTGTATGAAGGAGATATAGAGAGAGTAGTAAATGCGATTCATATATCAAAGAAGACATTACAGAAATATATAAAAATAAAAGATTTACCGGAGGAGGTATTGCGTTCATTAGATGTGAGTGGTCCTTCAAAAATATCTTTAGAAGTGGCTGTTGAACTAACGAAATTGCCCAGTTCAATAAATGTGACGGAATTCATGACTAAGATCCAACAACTGTCTACACAACAGAAAATGGACACTATAAAGGTATTCAACTCTTTAAAATCTACAGATATAAGTGATGTGGATGATATAAAAGAAGAAATAGTGATAAATTCAAATAATATAAAATTGGCACCTTCATATCCGTATGTGAAAGATGAGCATGATCGATACATAAGGATACCAGAGGAATTGTATGAGGACATTATAAAATTGATAGAATTGAAAACAGGAACATTAGAATATATTTGACAAACGTAGATGACACTTAGAAATTGTGCTTCAAGATCTTATGAACTTTTGTAACTTTAAAACCAAGAGAAGAAAGTTTAAGTATTAAAGAAGAGCTCAAAGGTCCAAGTGTGTACTAGTAGCCTAATTTATAACAAGTTTTTGAAAAATATGTATCATATATTGTGTGCCAAAATCATTTGCAACTTTAAACAAAATATTTTCTATAGCAATACCTCTTTGAGCATATTATTGAGGTAGAATATTTATATCTTTGGCTTCATTGTTTAATCGTACCAATACATCAATAATATAAGCATCAATAGCATCTTGACTAAGGGAAGGATTAATTTAAATTACGATGAGTGATTTATATAAAAGTATCAATATGGAGCATAAGATAGAAAGCCAAAAATAAAAGCAAGAATGAGAAATATAGTTTTTGTGGGGAACATAACATGAACAATTTGCCAAGTGAGAGATGATCATATTCACAGGTATTTGTACAAAAATAATGTTATTAATATAATTTTTATGCGAGAATGGAAGACATGTTAAGTTTTTCGATGAGTGCGTTTTTGTTGAGGGAAGTATACCCTTTGATGCCCTTAGCCTTGCATTGACCACGAAGTTGAGTTAGGGTTAATTTAGAGAGGTCAATTTCGGGAGGATCAGATGGCACGGGAGTATCTTGTTGTTCATCATTTGACAATTCAGACACACATTGTGGAGCAGGAGTATATGTGATATGCTGATGAAGATTGAGTAGATTAGAATCATGCATAGATTTAACAATACTGTGAAGATTGATGACATCATATTTTGAATTGTGAGCGTTTTGGATATTTTTTTGAAGACGAAGGTATAAAGTTCTGCGAGAGAAGGATCTTTGATGCCGTAACTATTCCGAGCTTTTACAAGCATCTTAGTATATTTCATGGTGCACAGGATGTGTTTTGCTTGGAGCTGAGCGATGATAGAGTGCATGCCTAAGCGATACAATTCACTGTTAATAATGGAAAGATCGAAATTGGCGTTATGCGCAACAACATGTGAAACTTGATTGAGGTATGAAGCGAGTACATCAGCAACTTCTGAGAATGGTATGCCTTGAGTGGCAGAGATTTGGTTAGTGATACCATGAAATTGAGAATTATCGATAGAGAACCCATCTGCTTTTACGATGAAATCCTTAAGTTCAATTTCTTCAAAATGTTCATTACAGAGCATCATGCTAACTTGTACAACGCGGGCACCGTCATACATAGTAAGTTTTTCATGTGAAGGGAACTGCCCATATGGGAGACCTCCACGCATAGGTAGGCCAATGGTTTCAACATCAATGATAAGTGCCATGTGTTAGTAAGATATGGCTTATTATCTTTAAATGTTTTAGAGTGAGACAATGGTGTAAGGATATATAAGTGAGAAGGGAATACGAATATATAACAAAACTGTTTAGGAAAAGTTTAGGGATGATAGATCTGAATGATTTACCGGATTGTGCGCAGGAGTTGATATGGGGATACCTAGAGACATGGATAGACGAGATAGAGAGGAAGGTGGTAAAGTTGGAGGAGGAGGTGTATGGGTTTAGTTACTATTTCATGAAGAAGAGGGAGCAGAAGAAGAACAGACTTTTGATAGACATACCATTGAGGATATTAGAGAGCAATGGGGTGTTTAGGAGGAGGGGGATGACGGAGGGAGAGGGCGAGGGAGGATTTGATAAGACTGTATGATCTGAAGGAGGTATTTTTCAGGATGTATGAGGATGAGGATATGTATTCAGGATGGTATACAGAATTTGATGAGGACTACGATGAGACATTTAGGAGGACGATACCGGTGTATTTATATATGCGTGATATCTACATATGGTTGAATTTGTTGAGGGTGGACATGGGTAGGTATAGGGTGGACATAAGGGTGAATTGGGGGAGATGGAGTAGATGTAGGAGGAGGGAGAGGATCCCGTTGAATATATTCCGTGTGCATGTAGGGAGGAGAGCGAGGGAGGGTGAGGTGATGAGGAGAGAACCGTTTTATAAGAGGGAGTGTAACCACGCCTTTAGTCATGAGAGTTGATTTACTATCCTCCAAGATTTGTCCGAGAGTTAATTGACTTAGCCGGGGGGTTTTGTCCGAATTAGAGGGAAGATGTGGGTATAAAAATGAGTAAGGGATGTAAGGGGTAGAGTAGTCTGATAAGGTATGTTGAGTGTGAGTGAGTTGGATGTGTCAAGGATAAGTGTAGGGG